GTACCTTTCTCTTATTATTTATTCCTTGTTAGGGCGAGCCTGGACCTAGGGGTCATGTTGGCATGCCTGGTTCTCCTGGATTTCTGGTAACACATAAACATACACACAAAACATTTAGAAAGACTTATTATATTGTGCAGTAGGGGGAATAATTGCACTTTAACTGCATGCTCCTAGGGTGAGCCTGGTCTTCCTGGTGAGGCTGGTATGGAAGGAGTTCCTGGACCCAAGGTACAAATCCAGAATTAGCACATGAAAGCATTTAAACTGCAACTATGAAGGAATTCTGACCTTTCCCCGACTGTTACAGGGTGACAGAGGCCAGCGAGGAGCAGTTGGGCCACAGGGAGTTGTCGGCAAGGCTGTAAGTTGCTTCTATGAATTTGTTTTTAGCTCATGTGCAGCTCATCTGCAGCTCATATGAATTATAACGTATCTTAACAGGGAAACAAAGGAGAGAGAGGACCAATTGGTGTTCCAGGTGCCCAGGGTCTTAGCGGAACCACGGGAGACAAGGTATGTGTGCGTGTGTGTGTGTGTGTGTGAAACAAATTGATTGTACTTTAAATCCTTATGAAATGTGCTTGAATGTAGGCAATGATGAACATGTTTTCAGTTACCCTGACTTGTCCATTGGGGGCAGTGTTTACCCATGAATTGAAGTCATACCAATCCAGAGTAAATCACTGAATGAGGCAAGCAATATAAATAAGCAATATAAATGATAATCTGAGCATCCTCATCTTCCATGTTTCAGAGAGGATACAACATCTTTCTTTGTGATCTGTGGTGCCACTGGCTTGAATCAACATTTAGTTCTTGTTTTCTTTGGAGGATATTACAATCTAGACATTATACACATTTATATGTACTCAAAATATCTTTCTTTCCAGGGCTTCCAAGGAAAAGTTGGGTCAAAGGGAGACGATGTGAGTTGCAGTTTTTTTACCCGGATTGTCAGAAACGTTGTATTTCAGCCACAATGCTGACAAATATGTTCTGCACTCATCCTGCTCTCTGTTCCCTCTTAATCTTTTTTCTCTCTGTGGCTTGTAGGGTGACCCCGGTGTTGAGGGATTGGCTGGCGAGAAAGGGGATAAGGTAAAAAAAATCATTACCGCAAAACCTAAAGCTGTTTAAAAACTGTTTGTTATAAAGAACCACAAAAGTCTCTGAATATACAAAATACTAAAACGTGCTGGCTTTAGACGAGGAGGTTCAAACATTTGGCTCCGAAGGCATCAAAGCAAAGTGATACATAGCAGAAAAATTCATAGTTACAGAAGTTAAGACGGAGAGGTAGTCTGCTTTTGAATTTGCATACAAATCCCTGTTATAGTCAAGATGGCAAATGAGCTATTGACATGACAGTGAGGCAATGATGCACGTTGGCGCTTTGAAGCAGCCTTTTCCAGCATTCATTTACAATATTCATAGTTGAATTATTGCTCAATGAGTGTCTCTGAGGCGGAAATGATAGATGCAAGTGATGAATGTGAAATTGACAAAGTCTCTGTTTGCTGTGACAGGGTTTGTCTGGTGAACCCGGCCCTAAAGGACAGGTGAGCTTGTGCTATGTGGAAATCTGATTACTCCTGTTCTTCAGTTCTTCCCTACTTTATTTTTTGTTGTTTTACTTTTTACTTTTAACACCATCAATTTTCATTCATTCATTTTCATGCTCCTCTCTTCGCAGCAAGGAATTAGGGGTGACTCCGGACACAATGGACCCGCTGGAGACCCTGGTAAACCCGGAGACCTGGGACCACTAGGACTGCCCGGTCCTAGGGGACTCAATGGGGAGCGAGGAGTACCTGGCATGCCAGGCATTCAGGGATCTTCAGTGAGTCCAATGTGCACGGACTGATATTGACTCATGCGCTTGGTTAGTTGCCTCCTCTTTGCTCAGTCTCCTCTTCTGTTCTCCAGGGACGCGATGCATCTGACCAGCATATTATTGAAGTGGTGTTGAAGATGTTGCAGGGTGAGCATCCAGACCTGAATATTCACCTTTTTGATGTCCATAGTGGAGATTAGATTAGCCCATTCCCCGAAGCAACTTGTATCTCCTGAGCAATCAGTTGCCCATTATCAAAGGTAAGTTAATCAAAAGTGATGATGCTGTCTCTCTTCCGTAATACAGAGAGGCTAGCTGCTGTGGCAGTGAGCGCCAAGAGGGCTGTGCTTGGTGGAGCAGGTGTAATGGGACCTCCCGGGCCCCCTGGACCCTCGGGGTCAGCTGGCCCTCAGGGGCCACATGGCTTACCTGGTGCCCGTGGCATTCCCGGCATGATTGGAGGAGCTGGACAGATTGGAAACACAGGACTTAAAGGTGGAAATATATGACGAGTACACAGTTGAAAGAATAGCTTTTTGGGCTACATTTGAAACCACCCTTTTTTTTTTTGTGTTCCCCAGGAAAGAGAGGGGCAAAGGGAGACAGAGGAGGTCCTGGTAAACCCCACCCAGGAGCACCAGGACCCCCAGGAATACAAGGTAAGAGCTGAAGCCTATACAGACATGGAATGTAAAGCAGCATGTAATACTGAAGGTTCAGATGAGTAAGGGTGCAATATGAAATTGAAGGCATTACAGCTTTTGCCACAGGGGAGGCTGCTCGGATGCATTTTAAAAGCGTCATTAACTCCAGTCACAAGAGATGCTCTTGAATGAGAATATAATAGGATTGCAACAATACACGCTACTTCAAACAGTGGAAAACACACTCGCTCTCCCCTGTGCACACAATTTAAATATATGCATACAGACAGAACACATGTGTAATGCGAGAGTGGGGTCAGGAGAGATGCTCTCAACATAAAACTTCAGTGCTGTTAGTCATGTCGAAGCCTGGGATTCAGGTTAAAATCCAATGTTGAACCCTCACCTTCCACAGGTCCCGCGGGTGTTGATGGTGTGGCTCGGGACGGCAGGCACGGCGAGAGAGGACCTCACGGATCAGCCGGAGAGGCAGGTTATCCCGGTAGGGCGGGTTCGACAGGTCTCCCCGGCTTCTGCGAGGCGGCAATGTGTTTAGCTGCGTCAGCATACACATCCCCAAGACTACAGGAGGCGGGATCAATCAAAGGACCCAATATTTAGAGACCTGCCTCTCCATCAGCAGAGAGACACCACCGAGAACGAAGGGTTAGGGGACAATAATAGCGACTGGATATGTAGCGCCCCCCTTCTGAAACGTGACGACCTGAAGTTTTGACTGGTGGGACATACTCTGATCTTAATCCCCCCCACATCACCATGACAACAGCAGCTCTCACCCACCCACATCCTTCTGAATTCTGTAGTGTTTTTGGATGATGTCAGTGTCGGTCCCCTTCAAAATACCCCAGCCCTGTTCTAGCAGTGAAAGAGGAACAGATTTATATATTGCGTCTCCCTGTTGTCTCACCGCCGACGAGCTGAGAACCGAGCACGATGAAAAGGTAAATGTCCATCACACCATTAAGTGGTTTTACATTATGCAATATTTAGTTTGAGATGTGTGTTGAATTAGAAATGCCCCTGCCTCTCTTGAGACGTCACACCCGATGTCTTAAAAGTGTACAAAAATGACCAAATAAATGATTGAAAGTGACACTCTGTACTGTACCGTACTGTAAAAACGTAGTCGTGAAATCCTTGATTTACCACATGTAAATGTACCCCCACCAACACCACTCCCCCCCTTTCCGGCCCCCAAGTCTCATTTTTAGAAACAAACGACTAGCTTGATCTCGTCCGCTTGTTGCCTGGCAACAGCATATCCCGATGGGCACTCCCATCTCCCACAATGCAGTGCTGTAAATCTTTGTAAATGTGTGTTTTGATTATTATATAGAGGAGAAATAATGAGTTATGATATGCACCAACGAAAGTCCTGTTACTGATTTCAGCGAGTAATAAAACATTCCAACAGAAATAACTATTGTTTCCTCAAGACGAATCAGCCCGAATGTGCTTCCTATGCCACTGTCCATTTTCCACAGGGTGTCAGATATTTATTGTTCTTAATATAATCATCTGTTAGGGTTCTTTTTTTGGCCTCTCAGGTCAACCCAAACCAATAAAGATACACTTTTTATCAAATCCAACGCTCTTCTGTATCATGTGCGGGATGGAAAACAAGGCTCTTTAGTTTCAGCTCCTTTTCTTGTCTTATTTGAAATATTTAATATCAATTTATGCATGTTAATAAAGTCCCATGCTTCCAAAGCTGCAGGTTCGCAGCTTTTGTCGAATATTCTTGCATCGCCGAAAGTTCCCACCATACTAAGATACTGTCTGATGAGGAATAAGCCTCCGAGGGCAAGGGGTTATTTTTTTTGGGGGGGGGTTCAGGTGTAGCCACCAGCTATTCGGGTGAAGACTTCCTTTTTCCGTGTGCTGCTCATTGTTTAAAGTCCAATTAGCAACTTGAAATGTGAGACTGAGGTTGAGAGACGACACGTACGACTGGATTGGGAAGCATTGTCAGACGATAGCTGGTGGATTCTGAGATTGCATTTCAGCCAATGCATCCACGTCTCTCCACAAGAACCGCTGCGGGGCGGCTCTGGCTAAGTGGAGAACAGGGCCGTCCTTCGATCAGAGGATCGGTCGGTTCGATCCCCGGCTCCGCTAGTCGCATGTTGATGTGTCCTTGTTGAGCGAGACACTGCTCCCGTAGCTGTGCCTGTGGTGTATGAATGTGATAGAATCCGAGTTGGAAGTTGCTTTGGATAAAAGCGTCTGCTAAATGACTGTATTGTAATGTAATGCTTACATTCAACCAAAGCCTGCTCGAACGCGATTGGTCAACAAATGGAAACCAGAACGCTTTCACTTCCAAAATCTCCTCCCGTTGCAGAATCTATTTATAGAGATTAGTTAACAAATAGACTGTAGAGTTGATGGATAGCAGCAGGCATACAGGGCCCCCTGAAACCTCTGTTTTCATTTTGTAGTAAAAAAAAATGAGTCAAAACAACATACAGAGGCATGCAAAAGAACTACAAGGAGATGCAAATCAACTACAAAAAGAGACACGAGAAGAAGATAATTGCAACTTCAACTTTACTTTACGTCTATGCTCCGGATCCGATTGTCTTGACAGTATTTCATCAGTGTTTGATACAACACTGGTTGACAATGACAACATGATGCATCTTTCAAAAGTAATATAATTCAGTTTTAACTTCAACATTTCCCATGGGTTAGTTTGTGAGAAACAAAAGTCTGACCATGCTCAGAGTTTAAAATGCTGATTGAGACGATAGCGATATAAAACTCCAGACTTCCAGATATAAAAAAATAGTTCGTAAGAAATATAACAGCCCCAAAAATACAGTAAATGCGTAATTCTACGAAATCCATTGGTGATGCTTTTTAGAATATTTTCTTTATCCTTGCGTGGCTGGCCGTGCTCAGCGTGTTGCATTACAGTACCTGTGGTAAATAGGCTCAAATATTGCTCATATTTTCCTAATTAAGTTCCCGTTGAAGCAGACAGAAGCTTACAGCTACTTTAGAATACAGAAAGAAATGAGATGCTTTAAGTGGCTGTAAGGCAAAATTGAACTTTATCAACACAATTAGAGAAACAGTTGTGTTTTTGTGAAAACACTTTTTTTTGATAAATAATTATGTCTTCAACTGAACAGATTATTTTGATTTTAAAAGCTTACAGACCGTAGATAAAAAAATATCCCTTTGGCTTTTTTGTTGCTTAATACCCATCAGAAATAGGTGGCGAGCCATGCGTATGTCTTGTATCAAATCTGTTAAAAAAGTAGAAAAAGCCACAATATATAAATATAAATATATACAAAACAGTCAATTCATCAAAAAAAGAGCATGGACGTGAGTTCTTGACATCTGTTTCGACAGAACTGGAATACATTTCTTGGGGATAATCTCTTACACACCACAAGCACTAAGACATAAAGTTAGGAATGCATGTGATGCACTCTGAATGTGATTGTGTGAGAAGAGAACAAAGATATGAGAGGTGCAAGCAAAGTGCTAAAATAACTGGAATCCTACAAAGAGAATAAAAAAAAAAAAAATAAAAGAAAAATACAAATTGTGATTCTTGTCACCTCCCCTCGGTTGCTTGAAAGCGTACAAAAGGAGTGAAACAGTGAGAATAAAGAAGCAAGACCAAAATAAGACAGTAATATTGCAATGGATTGGCAATATGGCAAAAAGACAATGATGCAAAAAAAATGTGCTGCTAGTATTTCTTTGCAGGCCTCTTTCCAGCAGGGCTCTTAGAAAGATGTTAGGGGTTTTTGCTTACTTCAGTCAAAATCTGTACAATTCAACAACAAAGTTACTCCTGCATTTCATCTGGTCGTCAGATTTAATAACTTTGGCTTCTTGTCTTCTCCGAAGTCTCTTTGCTTCAGTCCCTCTGCCCTTCTACTCTATCACCTCTACCAGGGGCCCTTGATAGGTGGGCCCTTGGGGCTGTACTCTACTTGACGGCTCATACAGTCTCCCGGATTACACCGGCCATCGTGTCCCTTTGAACCAGGCTGCCCAGGAGAGCCTGAGATCCCAGGAACACCCTGCTGGCCAACAGGACCCGGGGGTCCCATCTTACCATAGCCTTGGGGGCCTGGGACACCTGAAAGAAGGGGAGGAAGAGAGATTGTAATGACCAACTATTCAGGTTTATTTTATTCCATCTGCAATAGTGTGTTGCCATTTAACATTGTACCAGTACAATGCAGAAACAAGAAAATATGTACAAAATAACCCAAATAATCTGTAAAAGATGAAGCGCTAACTACCATGTCTGTACTAAGGGAACATGGGGCAGTTATTATACAAACATTAAAACCCTATTTTGGTCATTTGATGTGAGCACGGTTGCTTTTTTTAACCGAAATCACTTGTCAACCCAAAATAAATACACCGTGCCATGTTAAGTGACTGCAGATGCAAATTTGCAAATTCAGCCAAAGCTATTAGATGATGATTAAGGATTCTCAGTTGTTGATTTGGGTCGTATGAATTAGCCTGGTAGTTTTAATTAAGACAGTCTCAGAATGATGCAACATTACTTTCATTACGCTGGTAATTTACTATGCAGCAACAAACACAAACTTTTGTAATTAGCATAATTTATGTGACGTTAGAAAATTCTGACAGAGGGGTTTAGCTTGAATATCTAGTGGAAGATTGTTAAGCGCCTCAATAAGATGGGACTGGAGAAGGGATCGTCTGTAACTGAAATTACAGTTCAAATGTTAGACTATCTAAACAAAAAAACACCAAAACTGTTGTCAATGCACAGTGAAATGTGCCAAATGTTAACTATTATCTACAGCTTTACGTTAGGCCGAAACACAGTATGGCTGCCATTCTAATACTCACTGATCCGTGGACCAGTGGGGTAAATTACCTGATGCTCCTGGAGGTCCTACATCTCCCATCTCTCCAACCCCCTTATCTCCTTTTTCTCCACGTGGTCCATGTGGTCCTACAGAAAGAAGACCACTCGTTTTGACCACATGACAGATAAACCGTTTTTCTGCTAGTTAATAATGACACTTCTATCACTGTCGTGATGCTTGAAAGATTTTTTTGGTATCTGATGGCTCACCAGGGGGTCCTTGGCCTCCTGATCGTCCTTGTCTGCCAATCTGTCCCGGGAGTCCAGGTGCACCTGGGTTCCCAGGAATACCCGAAGATCCGTCTTTCCCTGGGGCCCCAGGCCGACCTGGAGATGCTACCTCTACTGGCATCTGCATGCGCGACATGTAGTAGGCCATTCTCTCTGGGGAGGGGGAAAAATGCAATAACAAACAATGATTAGTAGCAATAGCTCTTTTGGAGAGAGATATGAAAAATAACTGCGGCATCATACACTGTAAACATTGCAAGAATGCACATGCCCTCACCATCAAAGATCTTGATGACCTGCTGGCGGATGAAGTTCTTGACTTCATCATAATTTACAACCGCCTGTTTAAGAATAGTGAAATTAAGAGAAAAGCAAAAGGGCAAACATGAATCAAGAAAGATCATTTAAAATGAATCATTTACAAGAGCGAATGGAGCTAGTGAGCACCTCTGGCCACTAGATAGCATGATGCATTATTTGGAGTCGATTTAACATTTCAAAAAATTTTTTATAATAAGTTTACAATTAGGTAAGTGTAATTGAACTGTATCTCACTTCATTTCCTGGTGAGCCTGCAGGTCCAGGGCCCCCCGGAGAGCCCTCTAAACCTGGGCTTCCTCTCTCTCCTCTGGGTCCGGCTGGGCCAATCATTGGCTGTGCATCCTTGGAGTGGTAACCTCCACCGCCGGGGGGCCCCGGTCTACCTCTTTCACCTGGAGAACCTCGCTGACCTGCTGCCCCTGGTTCACCCTGGGACAGACACACACACACGTACGTAGTTAGTAGATACACAACAATGTCAGTCATGTAGCTTATACAGTGGAAGAAAATATCATAGTAAAATAACAACATAACTTTAAGCAAACTCAAAACATGTTTTCTTTTTTTTTGTTTTTAAACGATGGCTTTTTTCTCCCCACTCATAAAAGTCATAGTATAGTATGTCAAAAAAAGTCATAGTGTGATGAAAAAATGTAAGAAAAGTCATAGTATAGTATGATGAAATTAAAGTCATAATATAGTGTGTTGAAAAAAAGTCATAGTATGTTGAAAAAAGTTGAAATATAAGCTATAGTATATCGAAAAAATTGAAAAAAAGTCAAAGTATAGTAGGTCGAAGAAAGTTGGAAAAAAGGCATGGTATAGTATGTCAAAATAAGTCATAGTATAGTATGTCAAAATAAGTCATAGTATAGTATGTCAAAATAAGTCATAGTATAGTATGTCCAAAAAATTCATAGTGTAGCATCTTGAAATTAAAGTCACAATATAGTATGTCGGAAAAGTCATAGCATAGTATGTCGAAATATAGTAATAGTATAGTACGTCAAAAAAGTAACAATAAAAGTCATAGTGATTTGGCCTTTGTCAAAAAATGTGTAAAAAAAATAAAAATAAAATAGGATAAGTTATATAAATTCATTTTTAACGGACATATATGAGAGTCAACTTCCTCCTCTATCGCAAAGAATCAAAGTAAATGGTCGACTATCATTTTCTTACTTACATCACATTTCTTTTTTTTAGCTAACTAGCTATCCAGCTGTTTCACACTGTTGCTACTTTTTGCACTAAGCTAAGCTAACCGTCTTCAGGCATTCACATTTAAAAAAAAAAAAAAAGATGGCATCCTACTCATCTTAATCGAAGCCACAAAGCAAATGGTCAACTATTATGTTCCTCTTTAAATGTCCTGTTCTTCTTCAAAGTTAAAAAGCTTTAAAATAAAAAAGTAAATTTATTTTTCTAAATATGAGAAAGATATGAAGATGATTTTAACCCCTATTACAGAGAAGAAGCAAGCCGTCTGACAGAGCTTTTGGATATGTCTATATCACTTTCCACCATTCAGGTTGTTTAAATGCTCTCAAAAAACAGCCCTTCTACATTAGCGACAGTGATTTATCAAGGACAAAGCAGCCCATAATGGACGTCTAATGTTTACACATCACCGACAGACAAGCGGCTCTTGAAATAGAGAGGAGGAAGAAGAATAGAGGAGTCCGTTCTTGGATTTCTCCCCTGTTCTCTTCTGTGCAGCTAAAACCATGACAATGCCATCCTGTCAGCTTGACAAATAGCCTCATCCAGCATCTCCCCTCAGGCTTAATAGCATTATCCCAGAGGCAGAGAATAACTTTATCACTGCATCCACCTACAGTACTGTAAGCCTGTGTCCAAGGAGAGATCCAACACACTCTACAGCTAGAGAGGGCTAGTTTGGAGAGGGGTGAAGTGAGGTAAGCAGGAAGGAAGTTGTCAGTGGGAGGGTCGGAGGGTTAGTGAACTGATGACTGTGTTAAATGCGGGTGCTGAGTGGGCAGAAATGGCGAGAGCGAGCGTGTTCTGCACCATAGTGCTCTGGCCTAAGTTGCCATGAGCTAAAGGTAACAGAAAAAGGGACCATCTCTCTGCATTTAGATGGTCTACAGGGACAATGGATGGTTTTTGCTCTGTTTGAACACACACACACACACACACACACACACACACACACACACTCGCATAATTTACTGGAACTGTACCACTCCGAGTCAGCTCTTACCTTTTGACCTGACTGCCCGTTGTCCCCTGGTAGGCCGCCCGCTCCCTTTCAAAAACAGACAAAGATCCATAAAAGCAATGAAAACTGCATATCACCACATTAATCTCTCCACATTACATTTTAATCGGGACAAACATCACACCAAAACATTACTCACATCTTTACCAGCTGCACCATCGCTGCCTGGTTCTCCCTAAAAGCCAAAGTCATAGCAGAGAAAAAAAAAAAGAGTTAAGAAAGTTATGTTGGCATGGGAGCAGCTACAATGATATTTGATTACATTTCTGGGTGACAAATTTGGACGTAGACACAAGTTGAGAGGTATTAACCATGGAGCCAGGGTGCCCAGGTGGTCCTGGGATTCCTCCCATCCCAGGAAGACCCCTCTCACCAGCTTGGCCCTTGTCTCCTTTTACACCCTATAAAGGGAAAATGGAGAATTCAGATTCTCTTCTATTGTTTGCACTTTAGCACACAATCACACGCACACAACATATACAGCATAGCTTATAAAACAACACATTTCCACCCTAATTAAAAGGTCATATGTTTCACAGGATTTTGCATACCACTCCTGATGGACCCGGAGGTCCTGGTGGTCCAGCTGGACCTGTAGAACCCTAATAAGAATAGTAAACACACGTTATTGAAGATTAACACACTAACATATTACAATATCAACCAAACATGCATGTACAGCATAAAGGGCGGTGAACTTACAACGTGGCCGGAGGGTCCAGGTCGCCCCATAGCTCCTGGGTTACCAGGGTCACCCTGGAAAGATCACAGATTGACCTTTATAAATCTCCAGCGTTACACTGACTTTGATCTATCTACTCCTGCATTGTGCTTGCATGCACAGATGATTGATTTGCGCTTTAGTCTTTCTCAAAATCCAGAAAGAAAGTGAAAATACTGACCTCGTGTCCCACTCTGCCTGGTGGTCCAGCTGGACCTGAAGGTCCAGCTTCACCCTGAAGGAATGACAAAGTAATGCAAAGGTAATGGAGGAAGCATGAGTGGAATTCTCTTCTACTAGACTAAAAAACAATCAGGTAGCAAAATAATAACACGCAGAGTTGTGTCATGAAAGTTATTATCAGTTTGATAAAACAACTTAAAGGCCTTAACGCACAAGCAGCAGGAGTGTCGCAATGGTAATCAGACAAACGGATAGACATAGTGTGACGGCAAAGCAATGGGTTGTTGACTAACCTTCTGTCCAGGGAAGCCAGCATGGCCACTTTTCCCTTTGAATCCCTGAGGAGAGACATCAGAGAGAATGCGATTAGTACAGTATCAAAATTCACAAAGCCGAGGCTGCCAAAGAACAGGCAGGCGGGTCTTTGAGATCCCGAACACCTGCTCTTGGGTAGAACACAACCTGAGATACAGAGGGTGAGTAAGATAAATAAAAAAGAAAGGGAAGGGAGGTCGATAGTGAATAAAGGAGTAGCTGCCTAACGCCGACTACAACGTGTTAGAGGGAAAGTTTGTCCCTCTAAGATGTTAGAAGATCTTAGAATAAGACGGGAAGCTTAGAAGTTTCAAATGCGGTCACATCACTAGCGACAATCTTCGACAATAACAAGACTCAGTAATGATTGCACATACATGAGTCAGGAGTCAAAGTCCATACTAATGAGTCAAGGGGAGCCATTGGTGAAACTATACAAAAGTCAATAATCAGGATGATCACACACATCTTGAAACGTTGCATTCATTTAAAAGTCACAATCTCAAGAGCAGAATAAATTCATCCATCGTTGGCAATCCATCTCTTAAGAGCTTTAGATGAGAAGAAGGTTTAGTTTTGCAGGCTGATTTGCATACTAGTTTGCCAAGGTGAGCCATGGCAATGCACTTCTAATGAATTGTATAAAAAGCATGCCTCTCCCAGGTTGTTTCTACCAAAACAAGTTGCTGTATGTGAAAAAATAATGACGGAATTGCTTAAGTTGTAACACAAATTAGAGTAATGCTAACGGTTCCGTGAGGTTGTGTTTAGACTTTGAGCTAAATGCAAACAGATCTTAGTTTAAGATGTTAGCATGCTAACATTTGGCACTAAACACAAAGTACAACAATCATTACTCTGTATGTGCTTAACACAGTACACTTCTCACACCTAATCCACGTTGCTTACTGCACTGGATAGATGGAGAATTAAAAGAGGTCATCTAGATGTTAGAGGCGATACTTACTGGGATTCCTCGTGGTCCCGCTGGGCCTGGAGGGCCTGCCTCTCCCTGGCAATGAAAACAACAGTCAGTGCAGAAGGTCAACTGTTGCATGTATTCAACTATACCAACCACAGCATGACCTCAGTGTGTGTCTGACTATACTGCTTGTGTGTAACTTACCCGCAGCCCTGGTTTTCCATCTTTTCCATCCAACCCCTCAATGCCGGGGGGACCCTTTCATTGCAAACACAGACAGAGAGTGTAAAAGATGAAATACTAAATATTATACAGTTCATGAATATGTTGGAATTGGTCAAACATGGATAATATACAATAATACAACATGCATATATACCATCAGCCCAGGGGAGCCTGGTGAGCCTGAGGGCCCAGTTGGTCCCTGAGATCCTTGAGTTCCATCATTGCCCTTTGAAAGCGGCGATATTTAGTACACCAATCATCATGATCATTGTGGATACAGAGAAATCAACTCAATGCGTGATTTGTACTCACTTTTTCACCTTTCAGCCCAGAGACCCCTTCCCTTCCAGTTTTCCCGGCAATACCTGGTGCACCCTAAAAATACACAGGAACAAAGAAAGTCACTACAACTACTCTAAAGGCAAAGATGTTCCATTGAGGAGTCAAAACATTCACATACTGGTGGTCCCGGGAAACCTGGCTGTCCTTGGAAACCCTTGAAATAAAAAAAGAGTAACATAAGAATATGGATTTTGGTTCTAAAAGGTCACAATTTTCTATTCTTTTTATGTATATGTTATACACACCTGATCCGCTTTGGCACCAACAGGCCCAGCTGGTCCCGTGTCTCCTTTAATGCCCTACAGACACAGATTGGCTGAAATTATTCTCAGTTATTAAAGTTTGTGATGATAAATGAGGAAGCCAGGCTTTAAATATTGCTGGCAAACAATTGTAGGATGAAACGCTAACCGGGGAGCCAGCCTGTCCTTGGTACCCAGGGTTACCAGGAGCACCCTGCAGAGGGGGAGGACATGTTAGCTGGTAATATGCAATATTAACTGCAGATGCATTGTGTAGTATAGCACATTGATAGTGATGGCTTACCGATTCCCCTTTCTGACCACTGCTTCCTGGGCTCCCACGTTCGCTCTTCAGTCCCTGACGAATACAAATGGACAGTTAATCAATGTAGCCACCTATCCATCTACTACAGCTTCAGACTGCCGTCAACCTCTCATACTTCCTTCATAATGAGGAAGGTGAGAGTAACTTACAGGAAGTCCAGGCGGTCCCATGGCTCCTGGATAGCCGGACGTTCCCGAAGGGCCCTGAGGTCAAGATCATGCACTCAATCAAACCTAGAAATGAATTATTTCTCTGCTACGATTGCAGGGGAAGTGATTGGCAGAGATACGTACCTGCTCACCCTTAGTTCCTGGGAGGCCAGGTGACCCTGCCTCGCCATTCTGACCCTGAGAATGATGAGAGTGAGGAATAATTAGAAAACGATGGAGACGATGTGATACGTATGCTCCCCTGGTGACAAGGTAAGTCAATATCAAAGAGACAAACCGGCTAACTGGCCTCTCCTATTGGGACTGACTACATTTGATTGTGTCCTCTGCTCTACACCTCCATCAGGCTTCAGGATGGTGATGCAGGTCTGTGACGGTGATATCCGGAGCCTGAACATTGCCTGCTCAATGTTACTTCCCTCCCCTATTTATCCCTTCCTCCCTTAACTGTGTTCTTCCAAATTCATTCAAAGCTGCAGAATTCATCAAGTCATTTATTCCTTCATCTAACAAACGAAGAACATTTGCAGCATTATGGGGTTAATGTGTTACACACCAACAACATAGTGTGATCAAACCACAGACAGAGTTTACTTCTGTAATGCAAAACACTTCAATTCTACGTGAATATTGAACGTCGTTTTGAGATAAACATTAATATGCACGTGCGAGTGTGATCTGTTGCTTAGCAACAGCCGCTGTAAGCGGAAGACACACGAGTGCTGGAAGAAAAGAAGAAAAAGAGAGACGTCTTTTTCTTTGATGAGTGAATGAAAGACTGTCTGCTCTTAAGCTAACTGTGTATTAATATGAGTTACTCCTTTAGAAGACGTGAATAAAACTGCCAGAAATGGTAAGAGTGTCACCGTGAAGTATTAGTTATGAGAGTGATTGCTGAGGGTTGTAATTTAGAGAGAGTAATTAGTGATTGGTTAGACCAAACTAATTAGTAGCTCATCATTGTGAGTAACTTCCTCACCACCGAAAATGACTAATAGATTCATCAGCAGGGTTATACTTCTATACCTCGCACTTATAAACAGATAAAAGTGCTACTATGTAGGCAAATGGATTCCACGCAGCGGTCACACAGCTCATCCATTTTAGAATCCCAAGTGGAAAGTAACGAAGTACAATTACTCAAAGTGCTGTTGCTTTTTTTGGGTGTACATTACTATTTATATCAAATGCTACATTATACTTCTACTTCACTACATGTCAGGGGAAAATGTTTACTCCACTACATTTATTTGGGAGCTACAGTTACTATTTACCTTTCAGATTAAGATTCTACATTACAAGAAATTAAATAATCAAAATAATATGTAAGATCTTCTAAAATACAATTCATTGTTGATCATTAAACTAGCGGTTTCCAATCTTCTTTTCGGAGTTCTTTGCACTTACGAGAGAGGGATTTCTGCTTTATGATTAAAACATCAGTATTAATTAAATAATGTAATATATCCTTGGTTTGGATTTATTTTGTACAACTTGTACTTTCCCTTTGATGCTATAAGTCCATTGAACTACTTATGTAGGACGTTAAATGAACTATTTTTTACATACATTTACGTAATTAAATGATGAGAGTCCTTCTTTCATCACTGATTAAAAGAGAGTAAGAGGGGGAAAAAAAAAAGTTGGAAGTGTGCATTAATAAACTTACAGGTGGACCAGATGGGCCCTGAGGACCTTGGAACCCGGGAGGTCCCTGTGGACAGAAAACATTGAAATGAACACCTGAGACAAGAATAACTTAGCAATGGAAATAAAATGTACTTAACACATCTTCAAGCAGGTTTGAACTTGTTCCTGACAATTAACGATGACTGGAAACACAGCAAGACAGCTAGTGTGTAAATCAGTGTTTAAGAGGTTCGTGTGTTGGGCGTCATTGTACATCACTTAACTGAGACCAGTAGGAGGCTGTAAGAAATCATGGAAAGTGGCAAACACAAGCTACTCTCAAGTCACTTCAAATCTTTAACTTTGAGACAACAACCCATCGGTGCTGTACTAATATAAAATAAGTTTAAAAAATCAAATCTCTTCCTCCACAGAAGTACTGAACGGAGGGGATTAGAATACATATCGTAGTTTTCAAACAGTTTTAGTTGACAATAACGTTTCCAGAGTGGTAAGTTGGAAAAAGTTGTCATCAAAGTACTGAGAAACTTAAAAAAAGTCTGCATATAGATACATCTAATTTCAGAATAAGAGTCCACCTTTAAAGCTTTCTAGTCTCAATGATGTGTGTTAAATAACTATACTATGAATGAGCTCCGTAGGAGTCAGAGTTGAGCTGTCTGGAATGGTTCAATAAGAGAAAGATGTGCTGCTGAATCTCACCATGTTTCCTGGTGTTCCAGCGTGGCCTCTTTCTCCTGATATACCCTGTAGTAAAGGTAACAAAATAAAACTCTGTAGAGTCATTTTCACTTGGACAAAGACAGACTATATGCATGACAGACTCACTGGCTCTCCTCTTATTCCTGGGGATCCAGGCGTTCCTGGAACTCCAGGCATTCCCGCTCGGTCATCCTATGAGACAAAGACATGCATTACGTCTCACGTCTCTCTGTCCTTTTGTACGTGTAAAATGATTTGTGCATGTCCTTAGAATATAAAAATGATTTCAACTCACCACTGGTTGTGTCGCCTGCTCTCTCTGCAGTCGCTCCAAACACTGGAAGCAGACAAGTTATTGGAGTAATACCTCACTGCTGACACGATATGCCGGTAGGATAGCTACTCACATCAAGCCATGAAAACTCAAATACAAAATGAGGGATTGCCATTTTGCATCAAAGCACAACAACAAACAGTGAGAGAAAACCTTTAAGTGGCATTTCATATGATTCCGGATCAACAAAAATACTCCTGGTCCCTCCAAGTCTTACCTTGTCACAGCTGTCCAAGGGGGTTACACCGGGCTTGCCCTGGTCTCCTTTTTCTCCCTTGGCACCAGCTGTGCCTTGCACCCCTGGGAATCCTTTGAAGCAGTCCCCTTCTTTACAGCCCTCCTGTGTTGTAAAACACACACACACACACGCACACACACACACACACACACACACACACACACACAGAGCATATATAAATATGTATATACTGTATATATACAAACACACTAATCAAGAGTTTTCATGCAAAAAAAAAAACAGCAAAGCAAAGATATAAAGGAAAAGGAAACAATAAAACCCCATTCTCCAAAACGCAGTGTTACACATGAACTTACATCACCCTCTCCTCCAGCAGAGTCTTGAGGCAGCTGGTGTGGTCCAATGTGCCTCTAGAGAAGGGGCAGGGAAACAAAAATATAATTAAAATCATATACAATAGTTAGGGGGAAACCCTAATGATCAAAATCAGCTGTTTTCTTCCACATTCGATAGTTCACTAATGTTTCTCTCCAAATACAGTCAAGGACAGCGTTACAATGAAGTATGTAACGACGCCTCTTCCCAATTTGATGCAACTCATTGAATACCCCTCTGTCATTTACACAAAGATAGTTTTTGACTTGTTCATGGCTCAACATGATAAAAACACTCCTTTGGTGCCAGTTAAACGCTGCATGCTAATTCTAACCACGATAAGTTTGGGCATTCAGATAGAAGAGGAGGCAAAATACAGAATACAATTGCAATTTGCTGAGTCCGTCAAAATTACACACAAGATGCTTCACCAAAGTGGAAATAAAAAAAATTTAAAAAAATGGTACAAAGCATCACAACCTTTCCAAACAACATGTCTGTGTAGGACCATCTCATTCAGCACAATAGAAAATAAGTGAGATTACAGAATTGAAAATATTTAACCCTTCATCCAAAGTCTTATTCAGTTCAGAACTGCCGTACTTCTCTTTTGCCCTACAATGTTTTCTGTAAAAATACAAATTAATTTTCTGCACCACACATGATGCAAACTCTCTGTTTATGGCTCTATGTACAAAGCTGAGTTTTCAACAAAAGGTTTTGTATGATTTGATGGCCCCCCAAAAAAAGGAGTTACCTCCATGAAACCTTTGAATTCAGCAGTGTTTACACTACATGCTGTACTTGATAGTTATAAAGAGACAGATATATGACAAATATGAACTGGTATACAAAACCATAGCAGATATACACAAGAAAAATAAAACAGCAGTATATATTTCAACTAATGGTTGGGAAGCTGTAATTAAAGTCTATCGTAAAGAAAAAGTAAAGTAAAGAGTAGAACGTTGCACCAAGAAAGCAGGACGGACCCACATCAGTGGCTCTGGCCACACATATTGTACTTACACATATGTACAAACACACATGCTGAAAATGTGCAAGAGAACATGAAAGACAAATGCCACAATGGAGTTACACCGCCTATTTATGAGTTCTGAAATAGAACTGCTCACTCCACAAGCCCAATCACATTCGCAGTGGCAGGCAGTCTGCTCCCTATCATAGCAGTGGGACCTTTTCCACCGAGAGGGCCTGTCAATACCACCTGGCTGGGGTTTCAAAGTCATTACAAACCCATTTTACATTGTTCAAACTGGAGCCATTAGCTAGAAAAGCTATTCTATGCCGCGAGCTATTGGCTGTTTTTACGGGGCGCAAGGCTTTGTGCAGAAACAGACCTGCTCAAACAGAAGGTTCTCTATAATTATATGTCACTGTGCAATGTTCACGTCTGACACACTGAAAGGGGATCTGCAAATTGCTTACTTTGTGATTTTTCCGAGCAACATACTGTTATGTTTCAGAGACGAAGCAGATTTTGAGGCTTTTTGAGAATTATGCTGCTACTTCGAGTAACATAATACCTGCAGAACCATGGACGAAAAAGAGACATCGAGGGGTTTGTCTACCAAGATTAAGGCCACACTGTTGAAATGACTACAGACATATACAAACACTTGTTTGTATATGTCTGTAGTCATTTCAACAGGTGTTGCTTGTAATGCAAAAAACACGAAGTTTCTCTACAATCAGTCTTAAATATTTTCCAGAGTGGTTTACTGATTTTCAAGCACCTCCCTTTCCTCCATTACACCATTACTTTAATTCCTGTGATGAAGGCGAAGTTCCCCTCGAGTGCTGGCGTGAGATCAGCATTGATGTTTCTTTAGTGAAATTAAGCCATCAGCAGACTTGAAAGAAACAAAACCGACACCGTGCGCAGGACAAGAATCCACAGATAACTTCACAAAACTTTACCTCGTTTCTCTACTTTGATGTTGTCCTTGCACTTACTTCAAGTAAACTGGCTGTGTACCACAACACGCGAAACCTTCTGAAGTCTCAAACTGATCTGAGGCCAGATGCACAAAAGGCTAAAACTCGGAATATGCGTATGTAGTGTTTGCTAAATGCCTGCATGTTTCATGTAATAAATCTCAGACAATATGATCTATGTAGGAACCTTATGTCCATTCCCATAGTTATCCATGAACAGATATCAACATACCCCCTTTGTAATGTTGTGCGACATCAACCCATCTTTGCTCTGTCCTTACTCTGGCATATGGAGCATCCTTTAAATGTGCAACAGCAGCACACGCTCAATGTTTATGATTTAACAGTATTCCCCTTCAATAATGATACAATAAAATCCTGATAAAAAATAAAAGGTGTCAAACACATACCCCAGTTATAATTGTTATGACCTGAACTACAGTATTTTTACATTATGGAGTCAAAGTTGTCCTAAATGTAACAAATAATAACCTTGTATTACTTACTTAGTTTCCTCAACTGAATAATTTGTATATTTAAAAAAAGTTTTTAGATCAAATAAATGGAAGAATGGGACCTTTTTTTTTAAAAATATATATATATATATATATAAATACCACCTCCTGACACATTCATTTTAATGGGGGCATTTGCATAATTTATACATAATGCCCCAGATCTTAAATGAGTAGATAAGAGCCACCTCTCCTCCTATTTCTCTAATTTTACTTACGATTAATCCAGGCAAACCCGGTTTCCCCTGTATCCCGTCGTTTCCAGGGATACCCTGAAAGAAGGAACTGAGGTTGAACTGGTTTGTTGCCAATCGAAGGCTGGCCACTCCCACCTCCACCAATAGTCAAGGCAGAGTCAAAGGGGTCATGGTCAAAATGATCAAACCTGTTCCTTTCTTTAACATGTCTTAGGAAACATAGCACTATTTTGCATTCAGCCATTGTTACAAATGTACCCCCTTATCAAAGACATGACCACTTCCATCACCACTTTTTATGTCTTTCCTACACCTTTAAATGTCGCAAGACAGATTATAGTAACACCTTATTTGAAGGTCTGCTCAAGTTACAAACTCTAGAAATTAGTCAAACTGGTTCTTTAAATTTTTTTTACATTTATATTTAAGACCTTCAAATAACTGTTCATGTCTTGACGGATATTCCCAAAGCTTGCTCAGTTGCTTCCCACATGGGTTAAAGCTTTAAGCACTGGACAGGTTAGTGCATTTATCCTTTTTAATTTGGATTATCAAAGCCGTTTTTTAAACCAAGCTATTACACACATTCAGTTTATGTTGCTCCATTTCCTACATGCATATTATTAACTTCATTGTCCCATCAAGTTGCAAAGCATGTCAAAGCATTACCTTTCGTAAGTAACCCAGTTGCCCAAGCTGAAATCATAAGTAGCTTGTAGTTTACTGCACGCTGATGGAGCAGCTACACTGAATTTAGGGGAGAGGGACGCCCTTACCATCCTACTGTCCCTTATCTTACCTGTAGTCCTTCTGTTCCAATAACACCTTCAGGCCCAGGTTGGCCAGGAGGGCCAGGAGGTCCTGGTGGGCCCTAGAACACAAAGACATGGCCACAAATGATACACACATTCATATTCAAAAACAAATGGAGAATTGTGTGAACAAACTTTGCAAGGTAACAACACAAGCTTGCAAACAAAGCCCAAGTTATCAGACAGGACTGCTGGTTGACAGATCAGACCTGAGGCCCGGGCTGCCATGTGTTTATTGGAGTTCCTGGCGCTCCCTGGAAGGAAAAAGTAGTCAAAATCACAGCAGCACTGGTGCTTGCAAAATGTACAGAAAGTGCACAGTGTGAAGTTTAGAATAATACAACAAATGTCAAAGCGCAGAATGATGCAGAGGGAAAATAACTGATCTTGAACGTACGTTTTTCTCAATATGGAAAAGTCAATACTATGGAGTCATAATAAAATCAATGTGTATTCAAACTCAACAACAACCACAACAAAGGCAACATGTCTCGAGATTAAAGTAATTGTACATCACTATTTGTTTATTTCAGTGTGTGTGTGTGTGTGTGTGTGTGTGTGTGTGTGTACTCACAGGTCCGCCTATGCCTGTGTGCACAGGTAGTATGCAGTTGCACTCTCCTGGTTCACCCTGAAATATACATGAAAAAAATACCCATTAAATAGCTAAAGTGAAACTCTTAAGCACATGCTCCCCAACAGAGTCCTCATTCAACAATTAAACTCCAGCCAGTGTAAGAAAAAGTCAGAACCCCTTGAGCTTCCAGGACTCTTCTGTGCAGTTTTCCTTAATCTTGCATCACAAAGACATTGAAAACTACAGGGGGCGAAATGCTATGTACGTATTTTTGCCTTACATTACCTACAAACCTTCATGTAGTGTAAGAATACAATAAATGTATGGTATTATAAAGCAAAGAAAGGAGCATTTCACCTAACATCTGCAAAATGAAGAGGCAATGATATACCCAATTACACATCTGCTCTCACGACTTTCCTTTAACATCCAAGTCTGTTTTTTACTGCACATCAGCTCTCCAGCATAGCCCAAGACTAAATACACTAAATAAAGATTCAGAGTCCTCTGCAAAATTGTAACTATTTTTCTTTCTCTTAGTTTTTCTCGATTTTGTCCCACATGTCACAACCCTCCCGACCCTTAAGCACTGCCTCCACTGCTTCTTTATCTCTCCCAGTCTGGACTGGTGGCTCTGATGAATGCGGTAATTAATAGTCTCACACACTTTCTCTCTTAAGGCCCCGAAAACTCCTCCTGTCTGCCAGCAACAGTACACTCGTCACCTTCGCTGCTACTCTATCTGTGGCTCGAGGCAGGTGTGTGCACGTGAGTGTGAGAGCATGTATGTGTGTGTGTGTGTTTGTGTGAGATGTGGGGAACCATCTCTTGTGATTACCATCTGTTCTACCCCCTTTTATTCAAACCCCTCCAGATCCCTTCATCCAAACAAAACGGTAGACTTACCTTGTCCCCCGTAGCTCCATCAAATCCCTGCAAGAGAAGGGGACAGCACACACACAGACAGACACGCACACAAGCACTTAGTTACTCTTGCTTTGTTGTTCCAGAAGAAGGCTCACGGGGCAGTGAGCTGAGTGTAGATCAGGGGACAGAGGATGAGATGGAAGCAGACATTGCCTCTGTTATGGATCGAGGCAGACATCCTTGGTTACAAATGATGCCTAAATCAAGGACAATTCCCAAAGAAGCTCAAAGAAAATTAAAAAAAACACTCTGAACAGACGCCAACACTGATGCAAAAAACTCAAGTTTTCTACTAAGATACAAATAAATAAAAACATCTCTTCTAATTGTTGATGCATATGTACAAAAACATGCAAATGAAAAACGGACATGAAAGGAATAAGACAACTTACCGGTCTGCCGTCAGCCCCCGGTAATCCGTTAGATCCAGGGATTGCATCTCTACCCTGGGTGAAAAAGTAAATAGGAAACAGTGTTTGACAATATAAAAAGCATGACATTATATGCCCATATGAATATGCAAAAGGTGTATTAATGTTGTACCGGGGGGCCTGTTATTCCAATGCCCTCAGGCCCACGCGGTCCTGGAGGCCCAGCTTCTCCTTTGGAGCCCTATAAAGAGAAAACTCAGTATCTCATGGTTTCATTGTCTCAAAAAAAATGAGGTATTTGATTGCATATTGCAACAATAAGTTAGGCTTCCACCTCTCTATTTTATACTACCTTGTTCGCTGCAGGGCCAACGGGTCCAGTTAATCCTCTGGCTCCAGGAGGTCCCTGTACAAAACACACACATATTAAACCAAAATATGAAATGTAGTGTAGAAAAGTTGGACTTGAGAAATATGAGATTAGCTTACTACAACTCCTGGGAGCCCTCTTGGTCCCTCTTCACCCTATGACAAAAATCAAAAAGATAAAACATAAAAAAGGCAGGAGGTTCAGGTGGTCTGCGGCAGCTCGGTCTCATTAGGTCGTCAGATACAGAGACTTTGTCACGCACGTCTGCATCTTATACAAAAGCACAAGGTGCCCTTTAGCGTCTGTATAAGTTAACTTATGTAACTAGTAAGTTACAAAAGTAGTACTATGTAAGTAGTAGGGAAGGACCAGCTTCCCTAAGTCAAAAAAGGATTAAAGATTCCACAATGAATCAAATGATATCAGAGAGAACAGCCTAGGGTTATCTTTAGATAGTTTTTACAACCTCATGAATGTATTTTTAGTTCTAAGAGACAGGAAAGCACCACTATCTTGGATATGGTGTCCATTACTGCGATCACAGCAGGACCACATCCACCTTGGAGCTGTGAGTGTACTTTGTATGACAGACCTTCCTCAGCTGTCGACATACAACTCCAGATGTGAACACATCAGTCTTACTTGTAGTCCTGGAAGTCCAACTCCTGCAACTCCAACTTCTCCCTACAGGGGGCACAAGACAACACAGATTAGAATAATGTGACACATGATTAGACACAATCCTCCGCATGTATTTATAAACATGATAATACAATAAATAGACATTCACACCTTGCTTCCTTTGGGACCATAAGGCCCCTGCACACCTGGTAAACCCGGTTTTCCCTAAAGAGAAAACATGTAAGATTATAATCAACAATTGTTCTAGCACAGAAAGCCAGAAGTACACCCACACAAGAATATGTATATATAAAATACATAATATCTATATTATGAATAAATGAATAAACAAGTCCCTAACATTTCTGCCAGGCTTCCCTTCCCTTGTGGGACCAGGGTCTCCTCTCTCCCCTTTGGGGCCTTGCACAGCTACACCATCACCCACTGCAGTGCCTGTAGAAGGACAGCTGGTACAAGCGTCGCCCTGAGAAAACACAACAAATCATGATCCAGGAACCTTTTGGGAAAATAAAACTGAAATTGAAAAAGGATAGGTCATCCATTCAGACAATCAATGTTCATTTACCCCAATTAAAAAACATCATTGGTCCAAAAGTGTGAAAGTGGTATCGAAGATATCACTTGTTATTTGATGTCTCCAAGGATGGAGAGACAAAAGCTAAATTCATTCAAAGTCAAAACAGACCCAAATACCTGTGGATCTCCACCGTATGCTATCCAGAAAACATGGCTGCTACTTTTTATACTCTAAGTCATTTACAATTGATGCTGTGTTAGTTATAAAATCAGTCACCAGATGCAACTAAGGCGCAGCAAAGTTGATCTGACTTAAGAGTTCAGGTACTCTGTACCTTCGCTCCCCTCAAGCCCATTAGTCCGTCCCGACCAGGCTCTCCAGGCAGTCCTGGGGCTCCAGAAGCTCCGTCGAGTCCTTTATCTCCTCGATCGCCTTCTTCACCCTAGTTATATTGAAATATGATTATAAGAGGGCCCAACAGTCAACTCTATAGCTCTCACAATGATTACATTAAAGATACCATGTAGAGTTTTTGACCACTACAGTAGTGGTGCTATCGAGAAACGTTTTTTACGAGTGGGACCTTGTTTTATTGTGTTTTTTTTTTTTTTTATTAGTCACATAATATCCCACTGATCAAGAGTTGTGGAAGTAATGTGCTATCAAGTAAACCATTACATACTTTTGTTTTTATATATGTAAGAAATGTACCTTTTCTCCTTTTGCACCAGCAAGACCTGTTGAGCCCTGCGTAAGCAAATAGAAGGTGATGTTTAAATGCACGCAGATATATGATACACATGCAAAAGTGCTGTCATCTGAAAGCAGCGTGCAAGCCTTTATCCATTATTAAACAGATCATTCTGTCTGTGGTGGTGTCTGCAAGACTTCTACAGCTGAATTTAACTGTTAAAGGATTCTATCAAATAATGTTTTGGATCCACACTGCAATACTGTTCTATGTTCATTCAGTCAAGCTGCTTTGTTTCATTCAGTTTGTAAAAGAGCAAATACACAGCCATGAACATAATACACAATACAACGTAAAATAACGTAATATGCAATAACATAAAGCAAAATAAAACAAATGGTAGCAATATATACAGTAATATATACAACAATATATGCAGGAGGGAATAAAGAGTGCCTTTTTTTGATCTCGGCTTTAGGAGTGGAGAGAGCATCACTCAACTGACTATTGAAGGAGGGACCAGGAAAGTCTTGAGAGGCCCTGGCCTTTTCTCATCTGACTCTTCATTCTGTGTGTTTCTCTTTGTGTTGTGCTATCCAGATTGTTCTTACAGAGCAGTCGTACCTGTTTGCCATCAGCTCCGAGTCCTGGAGGTCCGGGTGGACCTGGAAGGCCTGGTTCGCCCACACTTGCTCCATCAGGCATTTTGATGCCCGCTGGTCCACTACCCACCTCGGCCGGCTGGCAGTGACCACACTCGCCCTGTTAAAGGGCAGGGAGTCCGGAGGGTTAGTTTGCATGACAATAAAGCTAAAGAGTGCAAAACGCAATACATACGTCTACACTTACCTTCTCACCCTTGAGGCCAGGGAGACCAAGACCTGGCAGCCCTTGCTCTCCCTGTCAAAAGATAAATATAATATTAAAATGCAACAGAATGAGATAAACTGAAAAATGTGCACATACAAATGGGTTTCTAAATGTAATTGTGAGAGGCTTGTGCACAAGTCGCAAAAGTGACATGTGGAAACATTTTCAATAATCCATCTCTCCTTTCAGTTCAAGAGTGCATAATTAGCTTTTAGCATCTAGAAATCTGGCATATAATTATGTGATTCAGTACTGAAGTAGTTATTGACAAAACAGAAATACTATATATTAATATACAAGCTTTTCTTCTGGTTCTATTTATTGATGTTTCGTGTTTAAATGCCTGATTTATCATCTGGCTAAGGTTGAGATTTAGCCTTTTGGCTAACACCGGCACAGCTACGATGATGTTGAGTGATGTGCATCGTCCGCGAGAATAAATAAACTAATGACAATTCTACGCTTTTTAGTCTACAAACATTTGAAGCTAAAAATCCATCAAAGATCCTGCTTCACAGTAAAAGCTCGTCACTGCCCTCTTACCTTTGAGCCTCTCTGTCCATCCTTGCCACCGGGTCCTCTTGGTCCATGCTTTCCCTGTCACATGGAAAAAACAATTAATTTTACATCCCTGAATCAGAATGTGATGCAAGACATTCTGATTCGAAGAACTGAATCTGAACTTACCGTCTTACCATCAGCTCCTTTGCTGCCTGCGCTACCCTGCAGACATGTGAAAAAAATAAATAGAAAATCACTACAGTGTCTGAATTTCCCCAATTGATAAAAATGGATGGGACTTTTAAATTGGTAATTCACATTTCGTAGGAAGGTGCACCCTACAGGCAGCTATGTCAAAAGATTTTGGGTTTTCACTACCTAAGCTTTCACTAATAAGTTCCCTGCTGAGTAAAATCCCTTTGGCTGACAGTTTCAGGCCCTAAAATTAGCTCACCGCTGTGATTATCTTCCTCGTGAAGTCTATTATGAGCCCCATTCAGCATCCCACTGAGTGAGTTCCCCTTATGTAAGCCTAGTCTACTATTGAGGTCACCGACTCTCAGTGCTGTTTCTTTTCATGTTACATCACTTACCTTTTCTCCTCCAAGGCCAGGTGATCCTACATTTCCAGGCTCTCCCTATGGAGCAGACACAATTGAACGATACATAATTTTAATGAAGGTGCTTATAACTGCTCACACATGCAAGCAAACACACTGGCAGTAACAAAATCACAAAAATCATTACCCAATCAGTTTTCTTCTACCATGTGTTTTACAGTTTATTTCATTGTTTCCTTTCAGTAACAAGATACATTATTTGAATTTTTGTGTCTTGGTTGTTTTTATGAGTTTACTAGAATAACATTAATTCTACCTCAAACAGACTTACTTGTTCTCCTCTTTGTCCAATCCCAGGCTCTCCTCTCTCTCCCTTCTGCTGCAGGGTTTGGGTCAGGACACCGGGGACGAGGTTCGGGGGTAACTCTCCGAGAGTTGGGCACACAGAACACGACTCTCCCTAAAGCATGTGGGCAGATTGGAGGAGGATCAGAGGCTGTCTCCGTATAATTATCCACATCAGGTCTCATTTAAATAAAAACAAACTATATTAACATGGTTAGAAATGTTCTGGTGGTCCAAGACAGGTGCAACGAATGCTACATGGAAAATTATACGTACAGCTTTAGCAAGACATACACTGTGAAGGTTCATTAATTAGGGTACTTTATGTAGCCGACAGCTGAATAAAGTTATCTAAAGAAGAAATTGTTTCACATCAAGCCAAATAAAACCTGACCTTTTCTCCTTTGAAGCCCCCTGATCCTGGTTCGCCCTGCCAAAACATACAAAAATAGACATTCAAGAAGGCAAAGTAATCAGAGCTCACTATGATGAATGTGTTTGCTTTGAGATGTCGTGTCTCGAACACGGCATTGGACGCATACAGTGGTGCCATTAAGCAGATGTTGGAGTATATCAATAATGTGTGAGTGGGTAGGTGTGGGTGTGTGGATTGGAGCGGGTTGGCATCCATGCACATGTGAGGTATAGACTTACTAAGGTGGCCATTTGCAGCGGCACTGAATGTGTGTGAGTGAACTTTGGTGTCTCTATGTGGAGTTTAGTTCAGCTAGTTTGCTTGCATCTGCTTTAGGAGGGAGCCTTCTGCACTGCTGATGTTAGCATATCTAAATGTGTAGGCATGCAGATGAGTGTGTGTATAGGTCACGCTTGCACAGAATATGAATGAACCATAAGCTGTAAATGAATGAGGGGGGGGAGCTCTATACCTTCTGTCCTGCCTTGCCATCCGTACCCAGAAGCCCCTGGTAAAAAACAGGGACAAAAGAGGAGCAGGGATGAGCCAAACGTATTGTAAGTTCAACTTTGATGCAGTGAGTCTCTCTCTCTCTCTCTCTCTCCCTCCCCCCCCCCAATCCTTCTCCCTCTGCCCTAACCAGGTATGACAAATGGATGCTGGCATTATTGGAAATCATTGCACAGAGAATCTCATAAGGGTCTAGATTTATATTACACCCCCCCACACACACACACAAATCATGCCCCATTTCACCTGCTGGGGTAAGTGGGAAGATGCAGAATGAACAGAAAGAGAAACACAATGCACAGTATGTTGTGTCCACCCTCACCGTAAAGAAGAAAAAAAGAAAAGATGTGCTTAGATTGCATTAACAAAATGACCTTTGCCTGGAAGAATAGACTTTTGACAGCATATCACGCTTTCTCTCCTTGAGCTGCTGGGGGAATTACAAGGGCAAATATAACCCCGAGCTACAAATAAACGCCATACCTTCCATCAGAGTGATAAGGAAAATAAAATAAAAGTGTTCAAGGTTCAATCGTCAGCCACAGCTCAGACCGTGTCTACGACTCTCTAATAAAACACCGAGCAAGATCATAAAAATGTTAAACTGAACACTCAGGGCAAGTTCAGAATACATAACAGTTTGACATTACAGTACACGTTCAAACTTTTGTACTTACAGGCAGTCCTCTCTCTCCTGTCCCCGGTAGTCCAGGCTCTCCTTTAGGACCTGACTTCCCTTGCAGAGCCACTGTGTTACCCATGTCTGCAGGCAGCACGGGGCACACTTCGCATGAGTCACCCTGATGAATGAACATGAGTCAAAATCACAATACGTGGATAAGAGAGCACACAGGCATGTACGTAGATTAAGAGATTAAAGGCAATGTTTAAAGATACCTTGTCTCCTTTAAACCCTGTTGGTCCTCTTGGTCCCTATGAAAACAGCAGATTCCCAGTCAAACACTGATGTATCAGCTCAGTTAGAATACTGTATATTGGAAGCTCAGGCAGCCATTGCTGAATATCAATCAATGTTTAAAAGAGTCTCTCACTGGATCTCCTGGCAATCCGTCGTCTCCCTGAGGTCCTGTATCTCCCTGTTAACAGATTATTGTTAAATGTAAACTGAAAACTATCCATACATTTTAAAAGTCTAAGCCCAAAGTGAAAACATAAAATGGAGTGAAAATGTTAATATGTTTCTCTAGATCAGTGGCGAATAAATTAAATGGATTATATATGGGGGGCTTTTACAATATCATTTGTCGTGTGCCGAATGGTGAACCTACCTCGTCCCCCTTTGCATGAGCCGATTCACCAGGAGGGCCCTGACAGGAAGTAAAAGTAAAAAAAGCTGTTTTTAAGACGCTTTTAGACTTCTGTCATGGTCAATGAATGCTAATAATAAACGAATAAAAGTCAAACTAAGACGAGTGTAAGGATAATAAGATAATGGGTTACACTATACAATAGGTGCATATACTGTATGTTTCTTTATTTCCTCCTCTATTTAAGTTCTTTAAATAAAAAGCAAGTGTGGATTTGCAATAGTTGCGACCACAAACGTGCATGAACTTATGAACTTGTAGTTCATAAGTTCACACACACACACAACCACTTGACCCCCGATGGCAGATTCCTGCCTCCTGGGGATATTCTTGTAGACCGACCGACCAACCGAGCTATAGAGCTGCTAGTCACAGCGAAAAACACACTTACTGGCAGGCCTGGCTTTCCCACTCCCGGTGGGCCTGGAAATCCGGTCTTCCCTGGCTCCCCAGCCAACCCCTCGGGACCCACCAAACCTGGGGTACCCTGGGAAAAAACAAGATGCACACAGCTCAATTAATTAAATCCACTGAACTGAATGTATGTGACATATAGATTGATGGTAGAAACTCCCGGACTTAATGCAGGCAGACCTTCTGTCCCTTGGGGCCGACAACACAGATGGACCCTCCTCGACCCTGGGAAATGGGTGACAGACAGAGAGGGAAGTGACAGCGTCATTATGGTCAGTGACATCATCAGTGATAGCCCAGAATAATAAAGCAAGCTCTCCAGAAATATAATGTTTTCATGACTTGTTAAAGACACCTGTTGATTTACCTCATTCGTTTGACATTTTACGATTGGAATTACAAAGAGAGAATTGTAGAGTCTGTAACATGCATTGTCTTCAGCGGTGCATACGCAATATCAACAAGCACATTCATATTCACAATGTCAGATGGCTGGCAGGCTTAAGAAAATCTATCCTCAACCAGATCCATCTGTCCACAACAAGCACTTAGCGTGGCGAACAGCTAAATGTATGTGTGTGCGTGTGTCTGATGCCGAAAAACCAGCAGAATATCTCAAGAGCACACACACACACGTTGTAATTTGGTCTTCAAAACTTTTCATGCGTCTACAGGATCACTGCGCTGAACAGGGAAGATTAACAGGTTTAAGTCTTCCTGAATAGGTGCCTGCCTGTGTGGGAGATGAACAGCACAGTCAATGAGGCAGCATTGATTGTGCAAGCTTTGTTGCTCTAGCCTAATCTAACAGGCATTAACAGGCCGACTTAACGCCATGGGAGAGTGGAGGGGAGAGAGCGGATATCAATGGGAGTCTTAGCTTAAAGAGTAATACCATATAAGTTTAGTGAATATCCGCTTTTAGTCTGGTAATAGTGGGCCTTGTAAGTGCATGTGCGTGTAGCTGTATTAGTGTGTTTATGAGTGCATGCTCTCTTTAGCATTTGTGCAAATGAAAATAATTTCCAAATTACTGTTTGACTTCACCTCAAAGCAAATATCATGCCTTCAGAAACTAAAGACAAAATACATACAAAAAAAATGGAAGACCTACATTCTTCCCTGGAGTGCCTGGGAGACCCTGACCACCAATATCTCCCTTATGACCCTTTTCTCCCTACACAGAGACAGAGTCAAAAAAGAAAGGTGAGAAACATACAAAAGAGACAACTTTAAATAATAAGGGGTTAGATATGAATTAGATGGACATCGAGAGGTCGAATCTTCATTATTCATCACTGAAGGTTTCTTAAAGCTTTCACCTTGTACCCTGCTGCTTCGTCCCAGTTGGCAGGCAGTGCCTGTGGAGAGGAGGAATAGAAACAAGGCCCAGATCAATGACCATACTCTAAGGACACATCACACACACACACACACACACACACACACACACACACACACACACACCCACACAACCAGAGAAACATGGGCATGCAGGTACATACAGATGTATATACTTGAATCAGACACATCAAACGGATACTTAGACACATATACATGAACACGCTCACAGAGACCTGCATGAACAAATTCATGGACACCCAAAGTCTCGGCACACACTAATTCCCACTGCATTATTGATTTTGGGACCTGATGCTTGATAATCAGAAATTTTAATAAACAGCTGAAGGGTTGGCGAGGTCTGAAGGCAGTGGGATGTGGTTCTGTAACCTGTGGCAGAAGATTGGCACTCACCGGCTCGCCTATCTCTCCCTTCTGGCCCTTGGGTCCCTCTGTGCACTGAGGATAGAGACACTTAGTTGGCATGTATTATCGCAGATCACTTTTTGTTCATACTGTGCAGCATGCCAAAAAATAAAACAATGCTTATCTGCAAAAGGAGGCACGGTGCGACAGTGAGAGGCAATGGAAAAATTACTTACTGGACCTGAATGGGAGCCAGAACAGCCATCACCCTAAGATGGAGAGGGAGGCAGAAAAGAAGAACGATTGCTTGTGGGTCAGGAACAGAATCAGTGAGTGGAGAGTGCATATCAGCTCGGTGGTGGATTGGTCCCAAGCCAGCATTATATTAGACTACAGGGACATCAAAGTGAATGTGTGTCTGTGTGTGTGTGTGTGTGTGTGTGTGTGTGTGGATAGGAATCAGTGCTCATTACTAGGCATGTCTGAGCACATGTGATGACCTCACACATTCCGCTGATATTAGTCTGACTACACACACAGAGTTGTGTGTCTGTATGCATTTTGTCTTTCATACTCACCTTGTTGCCTTTTTCCCCTTTAAAGCCAGCAACTACCTGCAACACACACACACACCCACACACACTTACACACTCCGCAGTGGTCTACTTATAACATTCGATTGGAAAGACGTGAAAGTAAAGATCAGTGATCCTTACATTTTCTTCCCTATTCAGGAGTAAACAACCAGCACACTACAGACAGATAGACACAGAGAGAGATCATTATTATACTGTGTTGGATATTCCCCGAACGTGTTGCGTGGCTGAGTAAAAGTTTGTGAAGGAAGTAAAATGGGTTGTAGTTTGTGTAGTCGCCAGCTGGTGACACTGTTACACAAAACAAAATTGTGCTGAACCCCTTGAGCTGCTACAGTACACAGCTAAATAAAAAAAAGGATGGGAGTTTAGGGTGAGCGGGCACGCACACTCACAAACACATAGACATACACTCAGAAAACACACAGCCAGCTCCCATGGGAGATGGAGATCAATAGGAATATCTGATCCCCCAGGAGTGAGGAGACCAGCTGCTCCTCACAGGAGGGCGCACACACACACAAACACATACCAAATAAGGATAACCATTATAAATAACCAAAGCATTTTTATTTTGGCAGAAGCGAGTAATTAAAGCTGAATCCAGCCCAGTGTTTCTGGGAGTCATGCTTTCAAACCCCAGACGGCTTGCATATATTGAAGCAGTGACTATGAGCTCGCCGAGATGACGACAGGGTGGTAGTAACAGCACAGAGACAATGTGTAATTCTCCCTTTTCTCTTCCCCCCACCATCCCTCCTACGAGCTACAAATCCATCAATGGTTGGCTCGACCGGCTGCAATGACGAGTCACTCTTTCCGAGCTCTTGTCTGGCTGTGGGCTTAGTCAAGTCCTGATATAGTCCCACTTAAAACCTCAGCAGCCTTGCCTTTATTGTTTATTATCTACATTCAGCTTTGAAATGGAAAAGTCAGATTGCTGCAAAAGGGCAGAACACTTTCGCTGTGCATTATGAGATGGCATTAACATAATTCTTGTAGCCAAGCACATTATTCCGTCTTTACTACTCTCAATTAAAAGAGCAGAAGTGTGGATCTCTGAAGATCATACACACCGTGCTCACTGCATATTAAGTTGGTATATCCATAGGGTTTTGATGCATGTATTCACACTGTATGTATTCATACAGTGAGATGCAGTGGTTTTCAGCATCTATCGAACTCACTGAATGTTTGTTGTCTCACAAACACACTATGTGCCTTCCTCTCTCTCTCTTCCTTGTCCTTTGGAAAAGCCCTTTGTTAATAGATTCCTGGTGAGCCTTTTGACTCACATAACCATGAAGCCACTTACGTAGCTGGAACAAGCTATATAGGAATAGCTGAAGCAGCAAGACATGAACAGTGAGATGGAAATTGGCTTCTGACTGAGCTTTAGGATTGTGCAGCAGAAGCCAAATCTACCCCTTATTCAGACCGTTTATTACCATTATCACATTAATACACGGGCCTGCTAGGTTATATTTGTGGGCTTTTGTGTTGCAGTACATATTATCAGGTTGTATTATCAATGGATTCCTTTACTGTGCCTATTTTCACCCTAGAAAAAAACTCTCTACTGTGTAATTTGACCATATTAAATTCACAGAACAGAAGAAAAGTCACTATTGTTTCTTTGCCCCAGTGGCAAGGCAGGCTGAGTTCTCCAACCAAGGTAATAACCTACATTGAGGAAGTCAGGGGAGGTGGCCAGCTGCATTAGTAAGCACACACAGGAGCAACATAATGAAGTGTCTGGAGTTTTGTATTCTATTTGTGAACAGAACATGTCTATTGTAGGTGAATGATAAAATGAATAGGCAGCAGCAACTCCCGACTGAGGCTCGGTGTATAATGAAGTGTAAATCAGTCCTCGGTCAGTCAGCAAGATGTATACATTTGAGGGAGGAAGGAGGAAATAGAGATATATACGATTCAATTTTTTCCCCACACACACAACATAAAGGAGTTACATTTCAGCAGAAAATAGGTTTATCAACCCATATGCTTCCTGGACCCTACATACTTTTTGAGGCTCCAATTCAACGGGACATGCATGTGTTTGGACTGTAGGAGCTTGAGGCTTGCTTTGAGGCGAATGTCTTGATTTGAACCACTGCTGTCAAACAAGTTGCATTAGGAATTCAATACTATAAAATCAAGTCTGTGTGTGTGAGTGTGTGTTAATTGTGAGGCTTACTTTCTCTGCCAGATCCTTTGATGCAAAATTCTCCTGTTGGTAGATAGAAAAGGAAGAAGAGATTGAAAGAATGAAAGAAAGGGGAAAAAAAGAAAGAATACGTCAGGCCTTTTTCCTTTCACATTATATCTGAACATGACCTCATTACAACTTCTGGCTTTACATTGGTCCAAAAGTGGTGTCTGTCTATGTTTAGACACTAATGCTGACAGTTTCATGGCCAAAACTCGCTCAAATCATATTCAGACAAATATGAAATCCAATAGATTTGAAGAGCAGTCACAGAAATGTTATTCAGTCTGGTTTTTCCCATTTTGACAGCACCGCAATCTAGTTCTGGTTTCAGCCCTAACTCCCAATTTTTATCAAGAAATTAATGTTTTCAAACCTTTGAGCATATAGTTTCTCTTCAGTCACTGGCAGCTCTGCTGCAGTTCATAGTGACTAAAACTATTGAAGATATTCTCAAGATTGGCAGCATTTGCACTTGAAAGTCTCCATAATATCAACATCATATGACATCTTTGGCGTAGGCAAACTGCTGTTGTTTCCTGTTGCATGTGGAGTGCATCCGTTTAAACCTGGTTGTCATTACAATTCATTGCATCAGATACACAACAAAGAAAGGAGAAATAAGGGCCCTCTTGGTTTCATACACGGGTCATTAACAGTCAGAGTGAAAAAAGACATGAAAGAGGATAAGGAGAGAGAAAAAGAGAAGTACAGTACCCCATGAGTACAGAGGCAAATGAAGAGATGGACCCCGCTGTGCACAGAGTTACAAATCAGACAAAAAAAAAAAGTTGATGACAAGAAACACGGAGGAAGGACTGGAAAGCTGAACGGAAACAATTTGTTCAAGAAGGCAAGTTAGAAGGGGTGGACATAAGGAAGAGTTTCAGCTAAGGGAAGAAGGGAGAAGACATTTTGCAGCTGGTTTTGGACTAAAAGATAAAAGTCAAGTAGAAACACGCTGAGACCGGGGGAATAAAACACAAAGAAGCCTGTGGCTCCTCTGAGGATCAGATGACCTTTCAGTTGGGAGCTGGGTTGAAAGCAAGAAAAAAAAAAAAAAAGACATTTACAGTGCTGGAAGATGAGAAATGGACAGTGTCAGTGTGATTTGTCACACCTCAGGAAGGCAGCAACTACTGTGACCCAAACACCAGACACAGGCAACAGTACACACACCTCTGCACCAAACCTAATTTGACTGTTAATTGCAAAAGCAGGTTGTTTAACATCACTGCAGGTGGTATCGATCTTGCAATCTAACTCTAAAAAATATTGAACTGTTGCTTTAAAAGAGTACTTAACGTTGCACTCCTATACAATTATCAGAATTACTATGAACACTTCAAAAAAGTCAATACCAATGCAGCAGAACCACAGATATATACGTTTTATTCCACATATTCCACACCCGGCGCCTACTTTTCCCACAATGCAACGGGACCAACGGCAATTCGGTTAGAGATACGGGTGTGTTATGCTAGTAGCAGTTAACGTAGCATTGAGCAACCACGAGCAGAAATCAGAAGCAGGCTTCATTTTCGAACTTAGTAGTCTTCAGACCGAACCAACACCGATTCCAGTGACATCACTTGAGGCAATTTATGAGACAAAGGGTTAATACAACTTTTTTCACATATTCAGGAGTAGTCCTCAAGACGTGTAAACAGACTTTCATATATCTGCATGTTACTTGGTTAACAAAGGCATATGCATTCTTCCAAAAGCTGACCTCAGCTTACCCTGTGCTCATACCAATAATGTCCATTACTCTTTCTATATACAGAACACCTGACATTCCACGTATGCAGAGTTGAATACGCTGTCTCTCAGTGAGGCTTAGTTTAATGAAAGCAGTGCTATGACTCAGTAACATCTGGCCTGCACACTGGAATCTTGGATTACATTGGCCATTTGCTAGATAGATAAAACTAGAAACCACTCAAGATAGTCTGTGCATGTATGAGCATGTTGTAAGATATAGGGCAAAAGAGAAAGTAGACGGCACAGATATAAAAATGAGGACAGAAATGAGTCTGGGCTGCATTTACACATCTGTAAGGAAGATGTTGGAAACATTACCAGACTATAAGTCTAAACATCATAATGCACATATCAAAACAGTCAGTCTGTAACTAATAGCAGAGGAGAAGGAGAGAAATAAAAACAGAGAGCGATGGCATGCCTGAGTTACTGTAACCGTGTCTGGCTGAAAACACCTACGGGATTGATTACTGCGTCCCAAGTCTGCCAGAGCTCTAAGTTAACACCAGCTCTCCACAAGACAAACAACGGGCTCTAATGAATAGATAATTGGATATAGATCCCATTAATATGAATAATGAAAGAAGCGGCTGTGGAAACACAAAAAGGAATTGCCTTTAAGTTATACTGGACAAACTTCATGTATCACGCAGCATTGAAGCAGCCATGAAGAACACCGTGGAAATGTGTTGAGAAACGCCACCCATGCGTTGCATAAGGCTCTATTCATCATGCATTCCACACCGTGAAAGATTGCTACCAGCGGACTTAAATGAACTGAAGTTACATAAAACTCAGAGGCACTAAAGACTGCAGCCGAGTAGAAAACACGTTTTCCACAGCAGAGTTTCAAGGAAGAACAACTAAGCTATTTAGCTATTATTCAGGACAACTCAAACTGTCTCAAGAACAAAGCTGTTTGAGGCCAAGTCCTTGTCTGTGTCTCTATGTGTTATGTCTGTGCCTGATGGGAGCCATGCTTTGTGATAATTCATGATGGAAAATTCATAAACATCTACCCTCTATTTGTTAATGGTTTTAAGTGCTTGTCATTGATTTTACAACAACTGAAATATAATATGTGAATAGTATTTTCAGTGTACGATACTGTATAATGGAGTAATTGTGTGTATACTTTTGTATAGTGTGTTTGTGTGTGACCACATGTGTTTTGCATTGGTAAAATGTCTGTGTGCATTTGTTGATTTACCTGGTTAAACGTGTTATCCGACAGGTCATTCTCTGCAGCGCGGCGGCTCTTGGGAACGTCTGGTGGGCACTGCGAATATACAATAGACATACTTCAAGACAGGCTAAAAGAACATTGTGATTTCCTACGTAAATCCTATAATTCTACTCTGGGCCGGATGTAACAATCTGACCTGAAGTACAAGAGTTAAATCTTTCTTCATTCAGCCTTATGCTTTGCTGTATATTCCAATATTTGATATGTTGCAAGATATACATTTTTCTCTTCTTCAAGGAATAATGGAAACTGTCAAATTGTGACTGTATCTAAAACAAGACTAAGAGTCAATGGCCATGCTAGCGGCTCAATCCAAATAATGACATCTAATTAATGGTTTGATGAACAGAACCAGGCAATCTTTAACACAGTGATATTGAGCTAAAATGTCTCATTTCTGTACCATGTAATCATGTCATAAGCACTGTAGCAGTCAGACCACAATGTCAGAGCTATTGACAACAAGCAGTTCTGAAAAATAAACCCCAGAACTGGCTGTTTGCAATTCTCCCCATACCTAAAGTGAAGAATCACTCGCTCTGTTTTTCTCTGTCTAACAGAAACATGCTGTTGTATTTAGGTCCAATGAATCTGTTTTCTACTTCTCTGAAGCCTGAAAACAATAACTGCACGAAAATACACATCGAGAGAAAGAAAGAGAAAAATAAATATACAGTCTAGAAAATGATATTTCTGAGACTGCAAGAGAAAGAAAGTGATACTTTCAATTAGCCTTTTAGTCACACTTTAGGAGTACAAACAACATTGGCAAACCGCAGCTGACATAATTGCACACAATGGATTTACGCTAAGCCCAAGTCAATTTGTATACAAAATACCCTATGTTAAAAAAAAAGCTTCTGGAGAATATTGTGTTTACAAATAGACAGGCTTAATTATATCTGTGGAAGCCTAAGTGATTGATTGAGTCCAATATAGTAGGTTTGGTTCTTCTTTCTGTCCACCTATAATGAGTTGGAAAAACAATAGTTAAACATAAAACATTGTGAAGACAATATGCTGCTGAATAACAAGAATACGCCTCCAGAGCAGAGTTTATAGTTAATTTCTGATAATGGAAACGTAGCATTCTTGAAGCTGTTGCACAGTGACCCTCTAGCAAATAGCTAAATCAGGTCTAGGGTTTCACGGAGGAAAGAAGTTCCAGAGTGCCAGGCGCCTGTTGACTGTAGCTAATATTTGTGTGAGCCTGAAACCTCTTAAAACATAATTTTGAATCCCCAGCAGAGGCTTTTCCATGTAAAGACTGAGGTTAGACCAATAATTTGGGGGGGCAAGGGGTGAGCAAAACTGGAAAAAACGAGTGTCCTTTCAGATGGCATAAAAGGTTCAAGCCACTTGTTGAGAAACATCAGATGGAAACTGGTCTTATATAAATTAAATACAAAGCTATACAGCCAGCAACTGTTTAGCTTAGCATAGCAAAAACTGGAAAAAGGGGAACGGCTAGCCTGGGTAAGCAGCTGCTGGCTCAAGCTTGATATTTAGTGTTCAGACAAAATGGTGGTATCTATTGTCTCATCTAACTGTCCGAAAGCAAAGAACATTTCCCAAAAAATTGTAGCTTACCCTCAGGTTCATCATTTTTTTAATATTTAGGACAATGCAGGAGATAATTCAGTGTAGAGCAGGTGTGAAAAGTCTCAGCTCCACAAAATTCATTGCTTATTGTTAATCATAGTTAGTTAATCATAGTTAGTTCATTAGTTAATGACGGTTGCCACTCTCACCCGTGCTCCAGGTATATCACAGCAAGACTCCTGAACGGCGAGGGAGGGGTCACAATACAGCATCACCTGCTGAATGTCCATCTAAGAAGGAGAGGGAGGGAAAGAGATGAATACATTAACAAGTAGGTCTCCATAAGTCCTCTGTTCTGTTTGGTTAATAATGTAAATAAAGTTTAAATTAGGTAGTGAGCAAGGCTGTGAGCCAATTAAATTATCATGTATATAAAGTATTAGGAAAGCACTTCACCCGAAGGTTTACATGCATGCGTTCGTGTGTGTGTTTGAACACTTCCTCCCTGCGCTAGCAAACTACCCTGCCTGCTTTCTAACTAGGCTGGTTAATTGATCGTCAAACTAAGTGCCTGGATTACTGGATCTAATCAGCATTAATAGTCCCCGGCTCACTTCAGGCACATTCTCCCAGGTAGTCCACACGCTTTTTTTAATCAGTACTGAATGAGATTGCCTCAAAGAAAACCACACTTCAGGGGCATAGCCTACGTTCTAAAATGCACACACATACACACAAAAGTGACTACACACATAACATGCATGAAGAGAAAGGGCCTTTATGGGTGGTTTGTTCATTAGAAGTATTTAACTTTGTCCATCCTGTTGTAAACGGGGGGTTCTGAAAAATGCCTGTTATAGTAAATTGTCAATACCAAAGGTTTATTGAATTATATTATGCAGCATCACTACCAACCATTTCCAATGGTACAGGTCCGAATAAGGGATTTTGGTTCTTTGGAAACACTTTTGAAACAGATACGTAACAGTTTGTCCTTCACACAGAGAAGGACTAAAGGTCACCACACTTTCAAATACTAAGTTCAGATGACATTTACATTACATAGCTCAAACTAGATCAAGAGCTCTTCAATAGCCAAGGGCAGTCACGCACTGCATATTTAATGAAAAGCACACAGATATTCTCCTCTCATTTCAGTATTTCCTTCCCCACTTCTTCATAGATCCATACCTGCACAGGCCCAGCATCTGAAGCCCGGATGCCCAGCAAAGTGTGTCCGTCGGTGGGCAAAACTCCACGGGGCTCCAGCGGTTTGGTCTCAATGAAGTTGCAATCCACTTGGAGGGAGGCGGCTTCGTGTTGCACGCTGAGGGCCACCTTGTGCCAGCGCAAGTCCATCAGGGCCTCCACCCCCTCCCCCGTGAAAATGCAGCTCACCAGGTCGGCTGCGGGCTCTATGCCGCTGGCACGAAGGGACAGGGTGCCATCGAGGCCGTTGAAGTCTACAGAGAGCTGGGTTTCGACACAAGCGCTAATTGAACACCAGACTATGTGTTAAGTATAATAATGCACAAGAAAAATGAACTGTAAAGACTGGTACTGGTTTCAACAAAGAGTGATATGTACGTGCTGCTACCACCTAACAAAGCTGTAGAACACAGTCGAAGAGATGAGGTAAAGGCGAAGACATATTAATTACACACGCAGGCAGTACAGCCAATCAATCACTCCTAATGAGGCGACTTGGCCTTCATCCATCACCATACACATTGAGTATTTAAATCTGGCCTCAGACTCTTGGTGATTATGGGGACTCTGAGGGACTCCAGTGCTTCATGATGGAACAACTATGAATAACAATGAAGGTGAATGAGATAGGAGAGCAGAAGATGATGATGGAGGGAAGAGCAACGGAGAGACGGGGAGGGGATCAGATGAAAAATAAAGAGAGGACAAAAGACGGGGGGAATGAAAGGGGGAGAGAATTGAAAAGGTGTCAAGAGAGAAAAGAAATTGAAGGGAAAAATGGATGACTATGCAAAAGAGAGATGAGAGACAGGAGGAATGAGTAGACAAAAGGTGTGATGAATAAAAGGTAAGACATCAAGGAAGGGAGGGGAGGAAAAGTGATGGAGGAAAAGAGGCGGGGCAAAAGGATGCAGGAAAGCATAAAACCGGCAATCAGGAAACAAGAGTGAGCTGCACCTGGGGGTATCCCTGCTCATCAGATATCTGGAAGAGGTAGATAGTGTCTCTCAGGGCGGCCTTCTTCAACACCAGAGTGAAGATCAGGGTGAACTCCTCAGGAAGGCCATGAGGAAACACCTCCCTGGAAGACAGAAGATCAGAAGGGGCAGGGACACGTCACTCCTCCATACGGTGATGCTAATTACAGGAAGGTTTCTGGGGAACTCCTGAGGATGTCATGAGGGTTATCTTGGCTTGGAGATTGCAAATTATAACATCGAGCCTGTGTTACAAACTGAAAGCATAGAGTCTTAACACAGTGGGCATTAACCAGCCAAATGACGCCGGACCAGCCTCCTTAAATCACTCTTGATTTCAATCTATTCTGCTTACAGCTAGGAGGACCTGTGGGGGCCTGCCTTTGTTGCTTCTGACATAGCAAGCCCTTAATAAAACATACAGTAGATGAACAATGCTAGGCATGTTACTTTAAAATGTAATCAATGTGTCTGTTCTGTATGTGTGTGTACAGGTACGGGTAAGGTGTAGGAGCATGAATGGCTATGTGCGTATGTGTCAGTGTCCAGGTATTTATTGTGTATATTTGTACATTTTTCATTTGACATGCGAGTATGCAAGCTGTGAAAACTAATTTCACTCTGGAACGATTAAGTATCTATCACACTTGACATAAACACAGTTGGAAGCCAGGGAGCTAACATAACATGCAATTAAGATTTTGACAAATTAGGTTAGGACAACTTTTTCAGTCAAATATCTGTCTGAGTAAAATGACAAAGTAATCCGTTTCCTGTGTGAGCTTTTTCTACGCAGTTTTCCCTCCCAATTTTCTTTCTTTTTGCATTTCTCCCTTTAGAATGTGTGAATGCAGCCAGCAGTACAATACAAAGCTGTGTATACTGTAACCCCCGTAGCATTCATTTTCATAGCAGATGCACTCCAGCAAGCCTCATCCCTCGGTCTTGGTCAAGGGCATCTGAGCACACAAATACACACACACAAATATTTACTGCATGGATGTGTGTAGATGTATTGAGAGATGAAGGGTTCACAAACAAGTCATGTGAAATGCATGCTCACTGACATGGTGAAGACTTTGAAATAGCCTCACTTGCTCTCTCTCTATCTTTGCACACACACACACACACACACACACACACACACACACACACACTTGTTGATGCTGGCAGCTGGTTTCCCGCTCCTAGAAGTGGGGTGACAGTGATTTATGACTAAGGGATGATCCAAGGGAAAACAGCCAACTACAGGACATCAAAACAAAGAGAAGATGAGTAGGAAAAAAATGTGAGGAAGAAAACACATTCAAGCTGGAGACCTTCAGAGAGAGAGAGAGAGTGAGGGGAGGGGGGTATGCAAACAAAAAGAGAGGCATAGAGGGGGAGAAAAATATGGTGTGGGATAAATACATTTTGAAGATAAAATATGAAAATTCATGAGTTTGATTAAAGGAGGCATGTCATGCTCATTTTCAGGTTTATACACATATTTGGGGTTTCTAGAACATGTTTACATGCTTTATTTATCAAAAATCACCTTATGTCAAACTGCATGTCTGAATTTACCTGTAGTCAGCCTCTGTCTGAAACGCTCCGTTTCTTTAAACCCAGTCTGCTCTGATTGGCTTACGAGAACAATATGGCACAACTTTGCAAAAGTAGTTCTCAACAGAACAGTATATGTAGGTAGCGATGGAAAGAGAGTGTGCGTGAGAGAGACAGAAAGACAAAGAAAGAAAGAAAACGATGTAGAGAGCAGAGATTGTTTTGCTGTCGATTAGTGACATGAGCTGCAGGGCACAAAACCACTCACAAAGTATTGACTTTTAAGTTAAAAGTACTCCACCATAGCCTTTTACATTCAGAATTCTGGGAAAAAAACACAAACACACACACACATACAGTATACACAAACATGCAGTGGGGAGATAAATCACTCAGTATGGGCCAGACATATTCAGATCTAGCCTTTCCCAACTCTGAAAGAAAGTTACTTCTGCTTCTCTTGTTTTGTTTTGTTTTTTAAAGAGAGCGGTAGAGGAAAGTGAGTGCAAGCCAGAGAAACACAGGGGAAGATGGAAATCTAATGTTAAAAAAAGCAGATCTTTGGATGGGAATATCACCTGGAGAGGTGTATAAGCACCCTTGTACCGGGTTCTAACTGAGCTGGAATCAACTGCATTCAGTGGAAAGGGTTTCTCTCTCTGAATGTCTTTTCAGTCAGTACACCTGACTGAAAGGAATTTCAAACAGCTTGGAGACGACATTGTAAAAGAAGCTGTAAAAGAAGCTATAATGGCCAAATTCTGTTTTAAGTTGCATTTTTCCCCCCAATGGCTATCTTCTAATTTTTTGTATTATAAAAAAAATATGTATACAACTTTAGGAAGAAAAATAACTGTGCAGACAGCAGCACATACTTCACAGCTATTGTAAAAACATTTTGGGATATGAGAATGTCTGTACTGCTGATGGTGCAGTTCAATGGTTTACAGTATATCACAATTACCATCACTGGCATAAACCTTCTAAAGGCTCGAAGCAGAATTTGATTCACTAATTAATAACTGGATACGGTGACTTGAGGCCAAACTCCCAACAGGGCCATTTGTCTACAGCCATGCTAGTAGCTCTGTAAGGCTGCTCAAAGCAACATAAATGCTAATATCAGCTAACTTTGTCAGCATGGCAATCTTAACATGCTGATGTTTGGCAGGATAAATGTTTATAATATTCCCCATATTTGTTTAGCATGTTGTATGGCAATATTTGCTAAATACAAAGTACAAAAAAGACAGGGGATTACTCTAGTCATTAGAATTAATCCACTGGGCATTAATCCGTACACAAATTCACATTAGTGCATTTGATAGTTGTAAGATATTTTGTTACAAGGCTGCCTGCTGGGAGTGCTATAGGAAAAGTCATTTGAATTTATCCTCTGCAGACCATGAATGGCAGTAAAAAATGTTTCTGCAAAACCAACCAATACACTGTATCTGTTGAGATGTTTCGGTTTGGACCAAAGTGGTTCGTAGAACGACAGACTGTCATTGCAATCCCTAAAGCAAATAGCATGACATTTTGTTCCTGTGCTCCCGTCTGCACAGATGCAGTTGAGCTGCTGAAAACTATGGTCATAACATTCCCCAGCTCAATAAAGGTTGATGTAAACTGTACAAAATCACATCCTCATTTTATATGGCTTCTGCATAGAGTCTGCACAGGCTTGCTGTACCACAAATGCAACATTAGTCAGACTAGCAATCGTCCCTCTTCTACTGATAATAATATTAATGATCATAGTAAATTATTTGTGTGGCGCTTTAAAAAAGGTACTCAAAAGCACTTTATATTAAAAACAGAAACAATAAAAGCAATTACAATATAAACAAGAGATAAAAAATAAGAAACAAAACAAAAACGTACATAACTAGCATCACCGGTTAAAAGCAGATTTTAAAAAATGAGTTTTAAGAGCAGTTTTGAATGTGGCGAGTGACAGAGAATGTCTGAGGTTTTGGGGGAGGGAGTTCCAGAGGGAGGGGGCAGCAATGGAGCTGGCTCTGTCCCCCCAGGTCCGATGCTTGGACAGTGTAGGGGGGTAAGGAGGTTGGCGTCGGCGTCGGCGGATCTGAGGTTGCGGGTGGGCGTGTGTCGGTGCAGGAGGTGATAATAAAGAACAGACTACACTTGTGACGGAGACGCACATGAAGGGGCTAGGTTGTGAAGGGCTTTTTATATAATGAGGAGAATCTTGAACTGGATTCTTTGCTGTCTGGGGAGCCAGAGGAGGATTTGAAGGACGGCGGTGATGTGATCTCTGGTGCGGGAGTGGGAGAGCAGACGGGCAGCTCAGTTTTGGATGTATTGGATGTTTGTTGATGATTTTGGTGGATGTGCCAATGTAAGCTAAAATATTTTTGTAAAAGTACATGAGCCTCTCCTTATGGATTCATATTCCCAATCTGCCATTTGCTCTCTAAAAAATATAAAATCACTATTCCTTTCTTTTCTTTAAATTCTCTCATGTTTGCTCATTTCTGATCCTTCCATGGTTGTAGAGATATTTTAAGAGCACCAGCACCATCACCTCTTCACTCATTATCTTTGGTTGCATTTAATTCTGTTGATAAAACATTTGACCACTTTTGCTATGTGACACAACATGTTAAATTCATCAAATACATTTTAATTCTGTCATAAATATTGTGGCCTCGTGCCATATTATCACAGAATTGCTTCCCATCTTTCCTACACACTGTAGCTGCATAAAAGAAACGGGCCCAAAGCAATCAAATCATATTTTGCAGAAATTCAAATGCATGTGACCAGCTGTGACTGGTGCCCATTTCACTGTCTGCAGACAACTGAGAGAGGGGAGAGACAAGTAGCTTCATCTGGCTGTCACTCATCTGTGTTAGCTTGGATTAGCTGAATGGATTAGCCTATGATACGAAGCAAAACGCTGCTTTCCAATTACTACACACACGTCTTGCACTTCAGTCAACCTAACCGGCAATGAATTGAAAAGCTCCCTGAGTGACGGGGAGTCTGTGGTGGATAGGAGCCATGTGGTATACAGCTTCAGAAATCGATACAATATACTCTCGGACTGGACAAATAAAAGGGGGCGGGTTGCGGGGTGGGGGATCTCATGTGTGATGGTGCAACTGCATAAGTACTGTACACACAGAGATTTAAGCAGACTAGCACACACTCACATGATCAGCATCTACTTTTCCGTGAGGCAAGTAGGCAAAACAGTAGGAATCAAGAATCTCCTCTAATTGTAATGTGTAGTCATTTTTAGGAACATGTATAGGAGACATGGATTTCTATGTACAGAGAGTAGCACAATGAAAGGCAGCTGGCAGGCAAGGCTGATGTGCTAACGTTAATTAATCTCTGTCCGAGTTCAAATGAAGTCACCCAGGTAACATTCTTCAATGATAAAAGTGACAGCAGAGTTCTCAATGGCATCCACAGCTCAACAAACGCTGCATCATCACAGAATCCAAACCAGATAGAGGATGCCCTCTCTTTGTATGGTTAGCGGCAAAACAAAAACTTCTTGGATTTGGCTCCAAAGATGCTGATTTTCTGAGAAGTGATATTTTTGTAGTGTCCCCCCCCCCCCCTCTTTTCCTCAGGACAAGTACTCTCTAAGCCTATGACAAACAATATATGTAACACTTTCAGCACAAAATGTCTCTATATCAAAAAAAAGAGTGTTTTGTAGACAAATTTCTCGGGTTTTTTTAAGAAAGTGGAGCTTACAGTGTTGGACAGAGTGATAAAATACTCTGGGCTGACCCAATTGGCAAGTTCTGAAAAAAAACTGCTTTATCGGTGGGTAAAAAGAAGCTTTGTAGGTTTTTTCCCAGTATTTGCAAGAACTGGAAAGTAAAAAAAGAGCCAGCATATAAACCTAATAAGCATTTGTCACACAAGTCCAAACAAAATCTACAACCAACTACTGTGTAATAACAAAATGAAAACCCAGGAAAGCATAATTACACCATGTCATACTGCGAAATAATGTGCAGGGAAGCCGTGCTCTGCTGGATTTTATGGCTGCTGCTCTCTTTGCCCAGAAACAAGCTCAGAACAAGCTACGGCTCTAAAATGATGCTATTAAATTCATATCCTTGTACCGTCTTTACTGGCAACTGCACCATGCCTACTAATTAAGGCATCACTCCTATAGTTTGCGCTCAAGCAAATAAGCCAGACATTCCATGTGAAAACTAGTTACAATAAAGTATATGCGGTCGCAACCGGAAAACCAAAAAGGCTGTTAAGAGTTCACTTTTACAAGCCAGTGTCAGTGGTGAGGGAATAGAAGTGGTATTTCTGGAAATGCAATCACAGATTGACCCATGCTGTATAGCTTGCCAACTGTCTGCTTTTTACAAAACAGCCATTGGACAGCGCTGACATGTTGAGTGAGAGTTCAGAGGCTACTTAGCCGTAGGGTATTCAGTTTCTCTAGCTTATTTCTTTGTTCAGACATGGCATGAGAAGAGAGAACATGTTGACATAGGTCTGCAGAAAGCTGAAAACCCAGCAGAAGATGTGCTTTATTTCACATCCTACCACCTGAAGCTCTACACAATGTGCCAGTGTGAGATGTGTTTGTCTATAAATTGCCGGAAAAAGGCGGCAGTGTGTTAGTGTGAACGTACTCAGTGGGGCGTAGGAGTGCAGCTTTGCCCAGGCGTAGGATGACCGGTCCTCGAGGGTTGCGGATCTTCTTGACATCTTTACTCTTGAGCAGTGAGAATCGCCTCACCAGATTAAAACCTGACAGCAAATGATGTTCATCAGCACCCACATGAAGAAAACTTGGAGAAAAACATGTCTGTTGGCATATTTCAGCAAGTCTTTTCACCTGTGATATTGTGCCTGGCCGTCTGAGGGAACTTCCACTCATCCACTTGCAAGGATGGGCATTGATCATCTGTGGAGACAAATAGATAACACAGGGGGTTAAGTAGGAAAAAAGTCAAAAATCAGGTGTGTAAACAGCGAAAACCCCTGACGTGTACTACTATTCAAGCACTCATGAAATGTCAAGAAGAACACATCAGTCTTTGGAGAGGTAACTTTAAATGTTAGCTTTCACACTTACTGCTGTGAAATGGACAGAGTTTTGTGTGAGAGCGAAGAAGCGACTGCAAACATACGTGAGAAATATAAATATTGATCTGAAAGAGAGGAGTTGGTGGGGTTGAAAGAGAGTCAGGAGTACAGAAACACAAAGAGTGCGTTGAAATGAGGGCAAAGCTGTGGCGAGAGGAAGACAACCCGATCTGACAGGTTGTCTTGCACCAAGCTTGTCTGTCGCGGTAGCCTACGTTTGATGGATATGTTCTCACCCTGTCAGGGGAGGTTACAGAGAAAAGTGGTGCCTGTCAGAGCGGCCTGCCTCAGTATAGAGGGAAGACGCGAGATGTGTTGAAAAACTGTACTTGTACAGGTAGACAAGGACCCTGTGAATCACTGTGATCCACAGCTAATTGATCTCTTTGGGGCCAAGGACCAAGGCCCCGAGCAAGACGTTCTACAGGGCACAGATTTTCAAAAAGTGTTTTTTTAACTATGACTGCAGAGAATGTGGAAGCAGGTGGTACACTGCATTAACTATTTTCTTTGAGCTGTGTTGCTGTCAGTGATATTCTAAATCATTACTGTGTGCCTTCTGCTAAAGCTGAAGGCTAGACATCTTTAATTTACCCTGGTACAATGCTGCATCTTTTCTAAACAGAAAACATTTTGCTCTAACTTAAGCTGCAAACACAGAGCAGGATCTTTGCATTCTTGGCACATGTCTAGGGACTCCTTGCCACTAGGGGGCCCAGGCGGAAAGGTAAAGAACATCTACTGCCATTGTAAAATAAGTTAAAAACACCCGATGTCACACATGTTCATCAGCTCTTTTCTTCGCTTCATTCAAGGTCTACAACAGGGATGAGTAGTAACGAGTAATGCAAACGATTAGGTTTTATGGCCCAGTAATGTACTTATAACTTTGATGCATTTGCTCAATACCTTCGTCACAACTAGTTATTTACTATGCATTTGGCCTGCATTAACCAAAATGAGCTGAGGATTAGCATTGGAAAGACACTATTGCCTATTCCGGTCTTCAGCAGCACTCGATTTTCTCTGGACTTGGTCTTGAATCTGCACCCAACTGCCCCCTGGTCTTGACTTGGGACTCAATTAAGTTGGTCTTCATTGCTCCCTTGCTCACCTACATAAGTAAAGATTATGCGTCTCCTGGATTTATGGTTTGAGTTGTTGAGACCATCTTTTTGATGAAACAGTGAGTGCACACTGCATGGTGAGTTGCCTTGCAGCATGCAACAGCAACACACAGTCTATGTTTCCAACCACAATTAAACTTTATCCAGACTGGAAGTCACATCATAACAAAAGGAAGGGAGCCTAATATAATTACCTCAATAATAACATAACCAACTTTAATTAAGAGTTAAAAAAAATGTATTTCACGCAGGCCGGCTCAAGAAAGAATTGAATCACTAGCAGCGCTTCATCACCTCCTATCACGTTCAGCGGTTGACACCCTGCAGCTTCTGCTCATCTCGGTTTCAAAACAAAAACTGTTTGGAAGCACAGGACATTTCAGCGTGCCTGCGCAGTGTGTGCGTCACTCGCTTGTTGCTGTCTGCAAGTACAAGTCATGTCGCGGATAAGAGATGTCAAACAGTGGTGTTGTAGTATATACGTTAAGAGAAACGTGAGATGAAAACTCAAGAAATTGTATGAATTGAATGCGACTTCTGAACAAAGGGACCGATACAGTGAAGAGTACAGGAAAGATCAAGCAGTCTTCTGAGCCCTCTGATACACTGTCTGACAGTACATGCTTTTTTCGTTTACTCTGGTGCTCTCTCTCTCTCTCTCTCTCTCTCTCTCACACTCACACTCACACTCACACACACACACACACACACAGCTGTATTTATAACTTGACAGGTCCATCCTGAAATGTGCACACTCTGCAGCCTCACAAAGACTCTCCTTCCTTAAAAAAAAAACATATTCACACATACATCAAGAGCTTATCTTCATATCTGCCATCACAGGTTTTTTTTTAATCAATCAAGTAAGATCTACTTAGTCTCTTTTTTATTCCCAATTTCCATCGAACAAAATCACAAGGGAGGCTTTGTCAGGAGTAATCCTGGCTAGAGGCAAGGGGGAAGGCACAATGAAAAGTCAAGCAACACACAGACAGGCGGAGGTGGAGAGAGGAGGAAGAACAGAGAGCAGGAAGAAGGAAGGTGAACATTTCATATTAGCTGTTTGACTGCGTTGTCTCACCAGTGGTCATTTTAGGACATTTCAGGCTCAGTCTGTCAACTGCTCTACATTGTAAGACCTGGCTCAACTTTCATAAGTCTGAGCTGTATTTTAGCATGCTTTACATAATTAAGGTGCACCCCAATTTTTCCACCCGCCTTTTGGTGCCATTAAAGTTTTTTTTTTTAGATGAAGCCATCTCTGCGGAAGATGTAGGGGTTTCCAAGGGGGCTTTGGCTACCCACCCCCCACCCCACCCCCACATCACGCCATTGTCTCTCACTCTGAACGAGACTCGATGAAGGTAACATGTAATACACCATGCACCAGCTTTCATGCTTGCAGTATTACCGAGTGAAAATATCCAAGGCCGGGCTTAGGTGCCATCCATATGTTTACATTATTATGTTGTTGGTGTATGAGTAGTCGCGTAATGTGTGTAGCAAGTGTGTGGTCAAGCGAAAGAGATGCGCTCAGATAAACTGTTTGGCGATCATCAGTGCAGAGAAGAAATTAGCCTCGTCTCGTGTTATTAAATGTAGCAACGCATGAAGCTGTAAACACAACATCAGCTCATAAAGTTGATACGACTAAAGTGTTAGAAAACTGTTTCTATTTACAGATCCAGAAGACACAAAGCAACATTAGCAGTGATTGGTCTTTGTGTTTCTGGCCACCTGATCTGATCTTGTTTTAGCCGTTTCGGTCCAGCTAGTTGCTAACTTTGTCATTTGTTACCGCTTTTAAAGCTGTGATTCAAGTTGTTGTTTTTTACTTGGAAGAGATTTTTGCTCGCTTCCATGGGATACACAGGCTATTTCTACATCACTCAGTGGATGGATGATATTTTAGTGGACTGTTGCGTACTCAGGCACTTTGGCAGTTTTGGCAGAGGACACACTGCAGAACTTGAACCCCATTTCCTCTCAAGCTGTGATCAAAGGAAAGCGTTTGCTTGTTGACGAGCTAATTAGTACATAGTATGAGTGCCACTCCGGGATCCTGCAAGCAGCTGCATGTAGCCTTAAAGAAATTGGAAGGTCTTGGCTGGGTTCACTTCCTCTTTGATGGGTTGTGTTTGATTCTTGCCAAAGCAGGTAATGATACCACACTGGCAGTCATGCAGTACACTGCTGTGAGAGTTCCCCCAAGTTTCCACCTTGCCAAAGATACAAATTCAAGACATTTTGGGTCTTTACGGAAGTGAAATCCTGCATTTTGATGTAGAGACTTACACTTAATTTAGAGAGTGTACAGGTGAAAAGGTGGCAGACAAGGGCAAACATTGATGAATTAATTATGGTAAATCCATCAATAAACACATTACTTCGTCCACAGGCAGACGTTCTACCACTCGAGCATGCATTTTTTTTTTTTTGCATCTTGCAAGATATGTGATATGGCCTTATGAAACAGTGCCTTGTTGTGACCGGGGTCTACTGAAACCAACTGCCCCTGGGTTTTAATACCGTTTCCGCAGCAGCGAGCACTTGGCAGAGAACTTTCATTAGGGAGAAGAGGTCACAAAGTCTGCTCACAGACTGTTTGATGTGTGGTTTGCAATAAGAGAGGGTATGGGTAGTTATTGAATGTGCTTTACAACGTGGCATTCCAAGATAATTGGACTGGGCTGCTGATCAGCAGAAAGTCAGACTCATCCAAGTCCCGCAACTATTAAACACATGCAACATATGGGAGGAGAAGGGCATTCTGGGTGGTGTTGTAGTTGATGATTCAACCCAATGATTCAATGTAGCCTATGTAAGCTTAAAGTGTGGGTAAAATGACAAACTGACTGGATTATAAATAAAAGAGGGTTTGAGACAGAGGGCGAGAGTGTGTTTCTCACTCGTCTTGCCGGCCAAATGAGACAGACAAGAGAGAACATTCCTGTTTGTCCAGAGATAAATCGACAGCACAAGAGGAGTGGAAAGACTTAAAACGCTGCACTTCAGAGGGATGAGCTCACTCGTTTTCCCCTTTGAAGGCCTCTGGCCCACATTCAATAGACTCTCACAAGCTCACACAGACACAGACTGGACTCATGACATACATTGACAAGTTTTCACAACAATAATTTAGAGAGTAAGTGGGGCTTGATAAGACTGTCAGAGAACAGGACATATACGACACATACACATACACTTTACACTTGTTTTTGACTGATCACATTTGTCACCTGTTAGTCGTTTTTATGCACCCTGCGGTTTTGAGATGTAACTCAATGTTACTTTATTGCAATGAACTTTTTTTCTGCAGAAAGTAGAGACAACAAGTTCATCCATGAAGCAGTGACACGTTTAAGTGTTTTGCTCAAGTTCTTTAGTGAGGTTATGGGACTGCCTGTGATAGCCTGGGCCAGAAAAATCCAACTAACAAAGCTTTTACATTTTTTTAAGCAATCACGCACGTCTGCCCTTCCTCTCAAATCTGACAGCCTCTCTCCCCTATTTCATTGGTTTACATTGGATTATAGAAAAGTCCAACTACAACACTCACATTACATATGTTTGCTAACTCAGACTGCTGAAACATGCAGGAGTAGAGGATGTGAGGATGTATGGGTACAGTGACTATCTTATATGTGCCGATGGCATCAGGGTGTTGAATAAATATATACTTTTAACTAGACTTATAATGTGCAGCTCGAAGCATATTTAGCATATATACTCTGCTAAAATCTTGACTCATTGTTAGACCTCCAAACCACCCGTGGGACAAAGACATCTGACCATGTCTGTTCAAAAAATTCTTCAAGACATTTGAGAGTTTCTCATCACGATTATTTCTCACACCACACTTTTCATATCATTTAAATATATATTAGAATCTATATGAAGGGATGCAGCAGTATTTAGTAACAGTAAGAGGCTACATAATATAACCAGTTCTCAGTGGCAAAAGCAAATACAGCACGGTGTTTAGAATATTCACTTTAATTATTTATATCCTAACCCAAACAATAAGGCATAGCAGACATATATCACAGAGTCTGGTTTGGGGAACCAGACTGTGATATATGTCTGCTTCTGCTGCTTGTCTTCTCTAACTTCCAATTTTGTGCAAATGAGCTTATAACTATACCACAATTCACTGGCACCAGAAAACATACAACTTAGCTCAGACACAGACAGAGGGAAACTGAGTGAAAACAAATCCATACACAAATCCATTACTTCAGACTGCGTAGGGTATGTGGTGCACACAAAGCCCCATATCAGCAACACTTTCCCAAATGGAGGGAATCTCAGCAATTTAATTTAACTATGGGGACTAGTCTCTCTGGCTGATACACTGCAGAGCAATCATCCAGCTTGACTCCTCAACACTAGTTTTACTCAAACCTGCTTTCCTGCTGTAATGTCAGCAAATTACCAGTAAGTAGAGATTTGGAGTCAGAGAAATGTCAGAGAAATGTGTGTATATGAGTGTGTGTGGTGCTGGCTGTGACAAAGTGTTATAGCTGCACTTGAGAAAGCACTTTCTTCCCACCACTGGGGGAGATGACTCTGGGGAGCTGCAAGCTGACTCAGTCTCGTCTGAAAAGCTCTGGGTCTCCCAAGAGGGACCCCCCCCCTCCTTCACAAAGCACGCTTCAGAGCTCCACCAGCTATGGAGGATTGCGTGGCCCACCAAGTGATATCTCAGAGCTGGACCCTGACAACACACTGACAACGTGGTGAGGGAGTACGACAGTTGGGAAGGCAATAAATGAATACAACAAAACAGTAAAATAGATTGTTCTTCACCTCTCTACCTCTTGGTTTCTTCACATGCACACCGTCTCCAACACAGCAACAGACAATTATACTGACATTTCAACATTCTCCCAATTCCATATATGTACATACAGACACTCAAAATCTTAAAACCTCTGCTTACAGAAACTTAGAATGATTGATGGCTCACAACCGCACATGGTAAACACACACGCCTCCTCGCCACAGCCTGACCACCCTGCCACCAACAGCCACTAGCTTGAAACACACATACGCTGTAATTACAGTCCGCTTTGATTGTAGCTTTCGGCCCCATCACACACACGCACTCCGAGACACAGATGGACGCGGTTCCATCAAACTGATGTGCTGGCGGGAAGTGAAGATGAGTTAAAATAGCCAGCATCCAGCAGCAAAAGCGAACTGCAGTCAATGAGCTGACTTTTTTTCGTCATTATCTGTTTTCTTGTCGTGAGTTAGATGAGAAGATTCATACTGCTACACGTGTACGGTAATTATAAAGTTACAGCTAGCAGCTTGTTAGTTTAGGTTAGTGTAAAGCCTGGATTAGAGATAAACAGCTAGCCTTGGTTCGATTTGACGGTAACAAAACCAGCCTAGTGTCACTAAAGCTCACAACCCAACATGTTACATTTCATTTGTTTAATCCCCAGAAACACCAAAGTGTAAAAATGACAAGTTGTGGTTTTACTTGATTTATTTTTGCAGACTATTTCTTGGAGCAGGGACTCACCAGACTGACCAGGCAACCTGTCGAGTCTCAATGCCTTTTAAGCTCACTAAATTGCTAATGTAGCACTTTTTAAAGGTACTGTGTTGTTACAGAGACTAGCATTTTTCATTCTAGGATGAGTGAACTGGCAGGACAGATATGAGAGTGGTATCCATCTTCTCATCTATCTCTCTGAAAGAAAGCAAATGAGGGTGCGTCGAGCTAATCATTATTTTAAAGCAAGATTTAGTCTTTCGTCAAGTTCACATTTTTGACCATGCTTAACCACTACTGGAGTTTACATTGTTTTAAAGCTCCAGCAGAGGAAACTCACCTTGCTCAGATGTCAGCATGTCACATGAGCCAAAGCTGAGCGCCAACAGAGTCAGACAGGACCAGAGAAGCCACATGGTTTCACAGCACCTCACCTCAGCCACCAGCTGATGGATGAACAAACAGAAAAAGAGAAAGTCAAAAAAAAGTCAAATCCTTGGTACATTCTGTCAGAATGCCACCCAATCTGCTCACTCGCTGACAGCTGCACATTATACTTGACTCCTAAATAGACGTTCATGTATATTTAAGAGTCATTCACAGTTGATGTGTTAATTATGTGGTATGATGTGTCCTTTGTTAGTGGCATATGAATTAACCAGAATGTCCCTCATTAAGGAGTGTAACTCTATAAAGTATGATCATAGTCATTATCCTGTCCATCTGGTTGGCCTTTGACTGGGCAGCTGCCAAGCACACACGCATGTGAATTTGTCTGACAGAGTGCACTTAAGTGCACACACACACACACACACACACACACACACACACACACACACACAC